ATTCAAAGTAAAATTATAATGCTAATCTTTTTCTTTTTTTTTCAATGACTGTTAAAGCAGCACGCCTCTAAATTCATGCCAATTACCCAATTTCCATAAAAAACTTAATGTATTAAAAAGTAAATATTCTGAAGTGAACAAAGAAAATAATTTTCAAATTAGCACTTACAACCCATGTATATTTTACATATGCAACAATAGCCCTTATTGCGTATACACTTGGAAAATTATGACGAAAAATACTGCACAATCGGTCATAAATCGCAGATAACACGGAAATTATTACGTCTATCTTGAATCTTTTTTATTTTCCTTAAAATCATAAACATTTTTTTCTTCAGTTTGATTTTCTTTAAATAATTTGGCACATCTGAAGACATGTAGCTTTATAAAACGTCAAATACATAAATAAATAAATGCTTTTATCGTTATAAATTTCGGTAACCATAAATTTCACTACCAATTGTGCAAATCATTAAATTTATACATGTTTAGATAAGAGAAATTGTGACAAACTCAAGTGGGCGGAGTCAATATTCATCATTACTTTTGGGACTACTTTTAGATGAATAATCAAAATATTACTGCGCGCTGTACTATTAGAGACAACTTTTATTGTTTTTTTCCTCGTGAAAATAAAAGGAATGTTATCGCTTTTCGGGAAAACATATTCCAAATTTCTCTCAAACGAAAAAAAGAAACTATGTATTTTTTAAGTAATTTAAATGTTATTTCATTAAATTATATTACTGTTACTAAAGAATACATTATTTAATAGGTATTTTATTGATACTGTCATACAATGTAACGATTGCACTTCATATTACATGTATGTATATACATATATACATAAAATATCTGTATAAATGTACCCTTCTTATGGTTGAGACACAATCACAGAAAAAAAGCATCTCCGGCAGATATTACCTTTAATTACAAGCGTAATATAACGCAAAACTGAAACTCGCCCTAAGCGAAGAAGGAAAATGACTATTTTTTAGAATTTTACTAATTTTTGTCGGCACAGGCAAATATTTAACAATGTATATACTTAAAGACTTCCTACCAGGTGGTAAATGTACATAAATAGCGACAGTTGAAAGATAACAGGTGGAATGAACCTAGTCGGTATATGTTATTTTGCGTGATTTTAAAAATTAAAACTTATCAAAATTCATTTTTTCCACCAAACAAGAACATTTAGAAAATGATGAATGTTTCTGACGTACGTACAAATTTAATGGACTATCGTTGCTTTTTGCAGAGTTAATATAAATTTGTAAAATGTTGTTCTGTTTTACATGAAAATCTATGAGATTTTAAATATTTTTCATAAAAACTTTGTTGTTAAGGTGTATGAATAAATTATGTCAATTCAGACCATTTTAACAACTGGTCACGTGAAAATATGCCATTACCGTGAAATAAGTGATGACGCGGAATTAGTGATGTTGAGTATACATTTTTTTCTAACCTGTTTCTTCTGCCTCTTACATTTTTTTGTAATTGTTTAAATATTTAGCTGTTAGAAACTTACCGAGTGATACTCAGCTACCTCGAACAAATATTCCTTTGTCTGTCACACCTGTATATTGCTTCAATGTGTGAAGCACCTTCTATTGTCAGCATTAACACTTTCAGCAATGGTGCCTTGTCATTGGACCCTTGTCATTTAAACTTGTCAATTAATTTGCTGTGTGACACAAAATATTGTTTGGCAAAACTCAAAATTTTATCCATCGCCATTATTTGAACAAAAATTGCAAAAATAAAAACAATTTTTTTTTAAAATGTTCTTTATATTATACTTGCTATAACTTGTGATATGGCGTCTTTAATACCACGAGATAAAAGAAACAACAACATATTTTTTTGTTTGGGAAGCTGCATTCCCTATATAGTTGGTCAAGTTATTTTGGTCTCTTTTAAAATTACATTATTTATGACAGTGTATTCGTATGGCCGTACTGTGTTTGCTGATATTGTGTTTAAAGATAGTATATGTTACATGTGTGTACTAAAATATGTAAATTTTACATTCAAAAAGGGAAATTATTGGTATTTTCAAGTATAAATTTTTAGCGTAATAAATCTTTCATGCAATAAATATCGAACCGAATAAAGGTGTTGCATTTTTTTTATTGCAGCATCATCATTTTACTTCCAATTTACCATGATTAATTTATCTTGCAGATCTAAATGTTCATCAAGTTATGTAACTTGAATTACTGTTTTCAATGTTCTACAAAAAGATTATAAAAATCGAAACCCAAAAAAGGGGAAAAAATTCAAATTAAAACTTTAAAAGGAAAAGGATATGTTTTTTTTTTTCCTCTCCAATTTAAAGAAGGGGAGAACATAAAAATCATAAAAATATACAAAATTCAGAAATTTTCCCAAATTTTTTAAAACACAAAAAATAAATTTAAAAAGTTAACAACAAAAAGAAAAATTATCCCAAAAATAATAAGGGGAACAAATTACAATTTTTTAAAAAGGAAAAGGGTGTATTTTTGGTTTATTTTAATTTTTTTTAATTTTTAACCCATAAAGAAAACCAGCCCCTTTTTTCCTGAAAACGAAAAAAAAAAGGGAAAATGGGTGGGAAGGGTTTAACCCAAAACAGCACAAAAAAACGTTTTTTTAAAAAACCCAAATTTGGCCCTTTCATTTAAATTAAAAAACCCAAACAGCCCATGTCGAAAAAAAAAATAAAAACCCAAAATTAAAACCAAAAGGGCCCCCTCAAAAAAGTAAATTTTAAAAGGGGGTTTAATTAGATATTTCCCCAACATTTTTTTTTACCGTGCAAAAGGACGGGAAAATTTTTTTTTTATAATATAAAACCAAGGAAAAATTAAATAAAAAATTTTGGATTTTTTAAAAAGGTTTTAAAAATTTCCCAAAACAAACAATGTTTTAAATTTTTTTTTTATTTTATTTAAAAAAAGAAGAAAAAGAAGAAATATTTTTTTAATAACCCAACTTTAAAAATTTTCCCATTTTTAATTTAAGGGCGGGTCTTCCCCCATAAACCCGGGAAAATTTGTAATTAAAACATAAAAAAGGGAACCGGGGGAAATTTGGGGCCCCGGGTTCAAAAAATATTTTTTTTTTAAAAAAAAGGGGGGAAACCCCAAAAATTAAAAAACAAAATTAAAAGGGACCCCCGGGGAATTGACCATTTTTAAAAAATAGGGTTTTTTTCAAAAACCCGGGGAAAATGGGTATTATAACAAAAAAGGGACCCCCGGGGGAAAATTGGGAACCAGGTCAAAAAAAATAAGTTTTTCAAAAAAAAACCCGGGATCGTTTTGGGAAAGCATTTTAGGGATCCCGGGGGAATTGGCCCCGGGTTCCCAAAACGGGTTTTTTTAAAAGAAAGCGGGGAATTTTGAAAATTAAAAACATAAAAAGGGACCCCGGGAAATTTGCCCCAATTTCAAAATAAAAGTTTTTAAAGAAAACCCGGGGGAAAATCGTTTTTTAAAAGATAAGTGTTTCCCGGGGAAATTTGCCCCATTTCAATAATTTAGGGGTTTTTCGGGAAAACCCCCGGGAAACCCGTAAAAATAAAGGGGAATTTTTGCCCCAAGTTAAAAAGAATAAAATTTTTTTTCCGAAAACCCCCGGGATCGTATTAAAACATATAGGTATCCCGGGAATTGACCAGTTCAAGTATATAGTTTTTCAGAAAAGCCGGGATCGTATTAGACGTACAGATAAAGAGTAAATTATCATTCGGTCTATTGGTCATAGTCGGAAGTGTCACTAGACATCTTCAATACACCAATGTTTATTAACACCATGGGACGATATGTTGGGCAAATTTATTAAGAAAATGAGTCCACTGCCGTTCTTTTTCATTTCATAATTTCATTGACAAGTAATTTGCTCATAATTTGTTCATACTTAAAAATATATTCATTTTAAGACATTAAAGAAAGCATTAAGAAAGCCGAATCGAATAAGATATATATATCCCGGGAAAATGACCATTACCATCTTGCTTTCAGAAAAGCCGGGATCTATTACACAGTACAGAGATCCTGGGAATTTACCACCTGTCATACATGTCAAGAGTTTTTTATTTGGTTATAAATGATGTTAAGTATATCTTATGATATTTTCTAAAAATGATATTTAAATACATGTACATAGAATTAAGCCATTATTAATTATATTAACAAAAAATTTTATTCTCCAATTAGGCAAATATAAGTATTGTGATTTCCGCATTTTAAGTATATTAAATATATTTATATCTTAAGTAAAATTAATTTACCGGTCAATAAATTATTTATATCTTAAGTAAAATTAATTTACCGGTCATTAAATACAATAAAAAATAAAAAGTTAACGTTTAATCGTCTTTCATTACGGCAAAAACCAACAAAAATATAGTTTATTAGTTTTCCTTATATATCTTACACGATCCCGGATCCCGCAAAATTGTTTTCATACCTGATCTACCCTGGGACATAAGATAAGTTATCTTATGTCCCAGATCTACCAGAAACCGAAATGAGCTTCAGAAATTGATTGAAAATAGTATTTTTGTGCTACTCTTAACCCAATTTGGATGAAAAGCGTTGCAACGCTTTTCAATTTTGGGTTATTTACAAGTAGAATAATTATTTTGGAAAAAGGTTTGAGCGAACGATCTGGAACTTTGCACACATGTTATTGCTGTAGGCCTACATCAAATGGAACATTTATCTCGAAAAATTATTGCCAGTCCCGTCTAGTAAAAAAACCTACATCCAGACCCTGCAAAGATCAATAGAAGTGCTAGCTAGCTAGTACCGCGAAAAATGGTGAGATTTTTGAATTAATAATAGAAACGCATTACGTCAAGGTAAACACATACAATACAGATAAAAAAATCTTTACAATCAGATATATTGAATATTTTAATCCTTTTATGGGCATATGCTACTTATATAGACACGTGATTTTTGTTAGTAAATAAACCAGCACGCTTCCGGGTTTTGCTAAAAATAGATAACATGACGTCACAAAATGGAGTCTAGATGGAAGTGAAACTTTATTATGAATAAAAAAATTGGTGTTATAAAGCTCTTTTAATGTAATGAACGCCAAAATTTACTGGATTATAAACTAGATATATTTTTCTTTCTATGTGACAAGATGGCATCACTAAATAATGTGCCGAAAGACATCCTCGGTAAGCTAGAAATCAACAGGTGTCCAAATTACCAAAATACAAGTGGGTGGGGAACAGAAAACAAATTGATATTGAAATTACAAACGAATATTGTATGGACAGCCGCAAAAACTGTTAACTGTTTTTGTGTTTCTCGTTGTTGAAAGAAAGACAAGAGTAAAATATTGACCGATTATAGCATGTCTCGATATTCTATCTGTTTTTAATCTTGACTGGAAATGTTTTTTATGATTTAAAAACCTTTCCAGATACAGTACAGCATATAAAATTTACAGTAGTAAAATTCCATAAATATCATTTTTATTGCATAGAGTCGATATACCATAGGCACAATCTTTTGACTAGAGGGACTTTTGACTTATCCATATAGATTCCATCTATTCGCCTATAATAATTATTTTTGTTAAGGGTCAAGTTGGCCCTAAAGCCTAAACCAACTGCCCAACTGTCAAATCACCACAGGTCTACCTGGCCCTCTAGCTGTTATAAATAAATAACTGGTTAGTGGTTTAGGCGTCTTCTTTTGGATCGGAAGGTCGAATGTTCGAGCCCCACAGGGAGTGTTAATTGAAGGATGAATGTTTCTTGTGGGACTCGTTCCTAAATGGCTGCTTTGTGAGCTGCAAGGTTGTCAAAATGAATGGTTACCAATGTCTATCCGCCTGGCGCCTGGCATAGTGGTAGGAGTTGGGAGGTACATGATATGCAAGCAAAAGGTGTCTCATAAGTCAGAAATGGCTGGCCCTTTCGGTAGGGGTGACACTGTAATAAACAAGACCTTTCATATCAACACTAATATTCAGTCCTTTTCTTTTTAAAGTCATTGTATTTTTTTATCTGACACAGAAAATATTTTTTGTGTTAAAACTGAAATGTGTTTCTAATATTTTGTACACAAAAAGTATGAAACAAACATAACCTAGGTCAGGGTCTTTCATATAGAATGGTATAGAAAATGCGCTATATAAACCCTTCTCGCTACTATCAAACATGTCTCAGTATAACTCAGTATAGTTTTGCTATATACAAATTATGTAAGTGATCAAGAAAACTTAAAGGGTGAAAATTAAATACAAGCAAAAATGATATATTTTATATATCATTTACTCAAAGAACTACAGTTGAAATTGTAAATTGAGAAGTCAAGTATGCATTCTAGTATAACTTATAGACACTTTGATTGGTTTGTGGCATCTGTACTGGGTTTTTTTTCTCTGCATACATGTAGACGATACAGTCTTATTGGGAAACTCAAAACATGATAGATATTCATAGAAAAAGACCTGGTTTCTGATAGTTTCTTTTTGTAAAGGTGTACTTTATACTAAATTTACTTAAAAAATATGTTCTGAGCTCTCTTTAAATGAAATGCCAGTTAAACAGGGCGTTTATACTGGGTCACATTCTCATCCTGAAATCACAAAAGAGCTACAGTCTGACCCCACAATATTCTTACAGTTCTTCATGTTAGTTCAGATCTGAAAAAAAGCCTGAGTTTAAATGGGCAGGAATATAATCACAAAGACTGGTATGGCTGAGTAATTGCAAAGCATGCTTTAATTTAATATGTGTTGTATACCACAAAGCCAAAAGATTGATATCTAGATCCATTAAAAGAGAATTGATAAAGAATATTTTGAACGAAATTAATCATATAAATAATTTTCCTGAAGTCATTTGTTTTATTGAATTAAAATCTGATGTCGTAGGATGTGTATCTCTTTTTCTTGCTGCATAAATCTTATGATAATAAACTTGATTGTCATGTATGTTTCATAGATGTCTGAATAATGTGAAGCCTATACATTAGATTGTAAAATAATTAATGTAAGAATCAATGGTTCGCTTGAGTAGCAAAAGCCAAAAGATCATAGCAAATAGATTTTACCAGCACTAGAGCTAGAATTCAAATATTTCAAGTTATTTCATCATTTCAGAAAGCATGCGAGGATGTATAGACAGAAGGGTCAAGCTATCAATAAAACGCCTTGTCCACTATTGTGTAAAAAAGGACAAAATAGAAAAAAGAGTTTTGGTAAGTAATTAATGATTAGATATGAAAATTCAATGCAAAGATATTGTAGCTTTTATTAAAAAGTATATATAAATCCTAATTCTATCAGATTTTACTATTATAGAGCTAAGAATGACCAAACTTTATTACAGTCTTTTAATGTTTTATTTCAAATTCTATATTATGATTAAACATGTAAAGAAAGAATAGTTTTGGGAAATGGATTAATTATTTTTTTGTTGGTTGGTAAAATAGCCTAAAAGTATTGCATTATAAAGGCTTGAACTTATTACTGGTCATGACAGGTATTTTATAACTGGTCTATAATTAAAGGTGGTATTTAACACAGGTTTCACTGTTAATGCCTTGTCAGCTGTTTTTGTTGAATGGTCAGTTGTTAACTGTATAGAATTTGAAATACTTAAATGGAGGAACAAAATTTATACTGTAGTTATTGACTTGTTGATGGACCAGGAAATAGTCCTATTAAACAGTGTACATACAGTAGTCATTGACTGCTGTTAGGTCAGGAAATAGTCCTCACAGAGTCTATACAGAAGCTATTGTCTGTTGATAGGCCAGGATTATAGTTCTATGTGCAATTAAGAATTAAATTCTTCACTTTATTATCAAAATCTTGTGAAAAGTGTATTTAAAGCATTAGTCAAGGCAAAAGAATTTGTCATTATAAATACCTGACTTTGAAAATAAATGTATGAAACAATATTAGTTTATTATCTTACGGTATATATTTTATATATTTTATTGATTTCTGTTTGGTAAACCCAAATCTGGGTAAGGGAATTCTTATCTGTTAGCTAGCACCTATAGGATGGTACATGTACTTTAAGTGTGTAGCAACTGACCACTCTCATATTTGTCAATTATTTGTCTTTAAATTATTTACTGCTAAATTTCAATATGAAATCACTTTAAAGGATATAAAGCTATCTGCTATGAAATTTTTTCATAAAATTTATGAAAAGTAAAATTGTATTTTTACCATAATCTTAGGGTATATTTTTTGAAAAAGTTGTAACATAGAATGTCTTTGCTATTAATCACACATGGATTTTGTATGAAAACAGAATAAAATGATTCAGAACAAATATTATACTGCTATTGTAAGTAGGGTTTTAGCCATTTAGCAATAATTTCATGCATGTGCCATTCACTTTTAAGGCAATGCACTTCAATTTTCTTTCATACTAGCATTTTGGAAGCATTTGTTTTCAAAATTCAAACAAAATTTTTTACAGCAGATATATAGCTTTATACACTTTAATTAACAACTTAAGTGGGACAAGGCAGTTTATGTGGGACAAGGCAGTTATACAAACACAGCAGAGTAAAGAATAGAGATATTTGACACCTTAGTGCAATAACTGGTTAACTCCTGTTGAATTTAGAAGAACTTAACCCACTATACTGCACTAATGTGACATATTGTTCATTGCAATGATAAATTGTTATTATTTTACTGTAACAATTTATACTTCCGTATACTAGATTAGATGTGATAAGATTATTGGTTATCTAAAATACTGAAAAGGTTGAGTTAGCAAGATAAGATTAGAAAGTGGTATCACATTGAGTGAGGTGTATAATATACCATAGAGGGAATGCTTCATTAGGTTTATGATATAAATGCAGATATGTTTGCTTGTAGTTAAACTCAAATTGTATACATTACATAAACATTTTTGTCCCTTTGCATAAGGTAAATTTGTTTGGGGATAGCTTAAATAATAGTGTTTTTATATACCAAATTATGTTTTGAGGCACTCGCAGAGTCTAAATTCAAGGTAAATTTCGTATGAAGAGTACAAAGTCAAAGTTCAAAGTTAAAGATGTTAAGAACACAAAGTCTAAGATCAAGGTTTGATTGATAGAGATCACAGTCTAAGGTCAATGCTTCATTGATAGAGATCACAGTCTAAGTCAAGGCTTCATTGATAGAGATCACAGTCTAAGGTCAAGGCTTCATTGATAGAGATCACAGTCTAAGGTCAAGGCTTCATTGATAGAGATCACAGTCTAAGGTCAAGGCTTCATTGATAGAGATCACAGTCTAAGGTCAAGGCTTCATTGATAGATAGACATCACAGTCTAAGGTAAAGACTTCATTAATAGAGATCCCAGTCTAAAGTCAAGGCTTCATTGATAGAGATCACAGTCTAAGGTCAAGCTTCATTGATAGATAGACATCACAGTCTAAGGTCAAGCTTCATTGATAGATAGACATCACAGTCTAAGGTCAAGGCTTCATTGATAGAGATCACAGTCTATGGTCAAGCTTCATTGATAGAGATCACAGTCTAAGGTCAAGGCTTCATTGAAAGAGATCACAGTCTAAGGTCAAGGCTTCGTTGATAGAGATCACAGTCTATGGTCAAGCTTCATTGATAGAGATCACAGTCTAAGGTCAAGGTTTCATTGGAAGAGATCACAGTCTAAGGTCAAGGCTTCATTGATAGAGATCACAGTCTAAGGTCAAGGCTTCATTGATAGATAGACATCACAGTCTAAGGTCAAGGCTTCATTGATAGATAGACATCACAGTCTAAGGTCAAGACTTCATTGATAGAGATCCCAGTCTAAGGTCAAGGCTTCATTGATAGAGATCCCAGTCTAAGGTCACGGCTTCATTGATAGAGATCCAAGTCTAAGGTCAAGGCTTCATTGATAGAGATCACAGTCTAAGGTCAAGGCTTCGTTGTTAGAGATCTTAGTCTAAGGTCAAGGCTTCATTGAAAGAGATCACAGTCTAAGGTCAAGGCTTCATTGATAGAGATCACAGTCTAAGGTCAAGGCTTCATTGATAGATAGACATCACAGTCTAAGGTCAAGACTTCATTTATAGAGATCCCAGTCTAAGGTCAAGGCTTCATTGATAGAGATCCCAGTCTAAGGTCAAGGCACCATTTATAGAGATCACAGTCTAAGGTCAAGCTTCATTGATAGATAGACATCACAGTCTAAGGTCAAGGCTTCATTGATAGAGATCACAGTCTAAAGTCAAGGCTTCATTGATAGTGATCACAGTCTAAGGTTAAGCTTCATTGATAGATAGACATCACAGTCTAAGGTCAAGGTTTCATTGTTAGAGATCCCAGTCTAAGGTCAAGGCTTTGACATTGATAAAGATCCCAGTCTAAGGTCAAGGCTTTGACATTGATAAAGATCCCAGTCTAAGGTCAAGCTTCATTGATAGAGATCACAGTCTAAGGTCAAGCTTCATTGATAAAGATCCCAGTCTAAGGTCAAGCTTCATTGATAGAGATCCAAGTCTAAGGTCAGGCTTCATTGATAAAGATCCCAGTCTAAGGTCAAGCTTCATTGATAGAGATCACAGTCTAAGGTCAAGCTTCATTGATAGAGATCACAGTCTAAGGTCAAGGCTTCATTGATAGAGATCACAGTCTAAGATCAAGGTTTCATTTATAGAGATCTCAGTCTAAGGTCAGGCTTCGTTGATAGAGATCACAGTCTAAGGTCAAGGCTTCATTGATAGAGATCACAGTCTAAGATCAAGGCTTCATTGATAGAGGTCACAGTCTAAGGTCAAGGCTTCATTGATAAAGATCACAGTCTAAGGTCAAGGCACCATTGATAGAGATCACAGTCTAAGATCAAGGCTTCATTGATAGAGATCACAGTCTAAGGTCAAGGCTACATTTATAGAGATCAAAAGTCTATGGGTAAAGATCACAAAGTGTAAGGCCATGGTTACATTTGTAAAGAACACAAGTCTGTAGTTGGTCAAATACTGTAAACAATATTTTATCCTTTGATAGTTATAAACTTCACGTCTCTAAAATTTAATATATGGATAATATCTTTTTGATTATCACATCGTTTGTTAAAAATAAATTTTATTTTATGGCAGATTCAGTGCAAACTGTCAGCAAAGTATAGGTTTGACAAATATTTTGATGCTTTATTTTATGTAGATGGTAAAATCTTATTGTGTGAAACTATTTTTCAAGGTACATGTTTATATCATTTTCCATATCAGGTACTGTGTTATGGTATATGCAGATCAGAAACTTGTGAAAATTTGTATAGTCCTCCAGGTTCTGTGTTATTAAAGATTAGGTATGATAACCATGGAGTAACTCATAATTACTGTTGTCATCCCTGGTCATTTCAAAGAGTATGAACCATTAAAAAAAGAACTAATTTGGCCAAATTTGCATTGATGGACCTTTAAGCCATGAAACAATATTACACACACTGTCTGTTTTAAACCTGAAAACTTGTCATAGGCAAGTAACATATTATTAAATGTTTTTTATCTATCTATTTAATGTTTAATAAAGCATAACTTGAATTGTTATCTCATCTTACCTATTGTCAAATATACAGTTTATATATCATCCTATGTAAAAATGGAGATTTTATTCTGGTCTAGTTTTGGTATATATTTACAAGGTGATATATAAGACAGAACTTCCTATTTACCTTGTATTCTATGATGTAAATAATATGTAGACATCGATCATGAAATACTATAAGTACATTGGTTGTTAGGAAGTTAATATAGATCGTGACATTCTGTAAAGCACAGGTTGTTAGGAAGTTGATGAGAAATATTGTGATCAGGTGTATTTGTCTCACTGATAGCATGCTCTAAATATGAGCCGCGTTACGATAAAACCAACGTAATGCATTTGCGACCAGCATGGATCCAGACCAGCCTGCGCATCCGCGCAGTCTGATCAGGATCCATGCTGTTGGCTATCAGTTTCTCTACTTGTTATAGGGTTTGTAAGCTAACAGCATGAATCCTGATCAGACTGCGCGGATGCGCAGGCTGGTCTGGAACCATGCTGGTCGCAAACACACTATGTTGGTTTTGTCATGACGCGGCTCATATATAGATTTAATACACCTATATATACACACATAAGTGATTGGCAATGAAGAAAGCAGACAAAAATCACTAGAATCAATTGAAGATGGTGAATACTGACAGATATATTGTCTTTTAACTAATCTTCAACCAGTGTGCATCAGAATGAATACTGATTGATTTTATGATTTTATTGTCATCCAAAAAATATTGTCTGTCTTCACATTAATATATTTAAAGCACTTAAAACCAGTCCAGGGGCTAGCATCTTACAATTTTCACTACAGTGATCAGACTCAAAACAATTTGTGAATATATACTGAGTTGAACAGGCAGGTTCCTTATGTCTGAAGTCATGTTATTAGAATAAATAGAATATTACACAAAATTAATGTTTGTAGTAAAATCTTTGTCAATTAAAAATATAAAAAAAAATCCATGTGTTTATATTAAAATGATCATGTTCTCAAGATATTTTCAATGATTTTAAAACAATCTTTTTTTTGTGTCCAGATTTTTTAAAATTTTTGTTAATTCAAATATACTGTAGGTAAATAACTACTTGTAGTTAGGCTTTCAGTTTCACATGCCAAAATAACTAAGGTGTCTATAAGGTAAGAAAGTTTAGCCCAGGAAAACAAATTTTTATTGAACAAGGAAGAATGTTTTGGGTAAAATGTTTATCTCTTTAATCAAGCTGTGTTAGTAAGAGGTAGCTCTTTGATATCATATTAATATGTACAAATATGCATATACAACTTTAAAGCAGCATGCCTTCAGATTCATGCTAATTTTCATGAAAGTTTTAAGAATGTATTTAAAAATAAAATATTGTGAAGTAAACAGAGAAAATTATTTACACATTGCTAACAGCACTTGCAATCCATGTAAATTACCAAAAAGAGGTCAAAATAAGCAAAAGTAGCCCTTACTGTGTTAATAACACAAAAGAAATATGGGTATAGATACTGCAAAATCTTTAATCGCACATAACATGTAAAATATTACTTGAATCTTAAATATTTTTAATTTTTCTAAAATCTTAGTACATTTTTCTCAAGTTTTATTAATTTGAAATATTTTGAGTTCTTCTGGAGTCATGCAGCTTTAACATGTACATGTATGAACTGATGTAGTAAAGAAGTGGGGGCAGGAAGTTTATTAATTGGTAATAAATGATATGGCCTAGTTAACCACAGAATTTTCTCAAGTATATTAGAGGTCAGTAATTACTGTTGGTGGTCTGTATGTATATAATTGACAAGTAATATCTCTCATAAATCACTGGCTGCAGGGGAGAACTTGTCTCCTAGATTATCCCTTTAAAGTTTTCACTTATGGCCTTAACTATTAAATTGATAAAAGTTGTAGGTTTTTATTATAAAGAGATATAGAGTGTCCATAATTTATACATGTATTCAAAATAGGTTATCTTTATCTATATTTATATTGTTTTACAAAGCTATAAAGTTTTATTGAGGCAGCATAATCCCAGATTATTTTTTGAATCAGTTTTGTTCATTTTAATTTGGTTGAGAAGAATAATTTCACTTCATTTTAAATGTCTCTGTATCACATACCCATGCTGCTTTTACGACTCCGAAAAATGGCATTGCACAGTAGTGCATGTATTTTGTCATGACAACATTTGCATTATACAAATATTGAGTAAATTTCAAGCGCTTGAAAGCAAATCACAAAATACTTTTTCAAAGTATGTGCACCATTCAATATATGTTTAATTTGCTGAGAAGGAGCTTTAAGTTGTAATTATACTGTCTGCCTGTCCCTGCTGTTTGGGGACTTTACAAAGGGTTTGAAAATACTGTATTCCCAAAGGATGGTGGGGTGCGGCTGGGGTTATATTGTTTTGTACTATCTGAAAACAAGAGAGCAACAAAGCGTTATTACTTATTATTCAGTTCTCACAATTTCCCTTCCACAAGGAAATCATTGTATATAATGTATAAACATGTATACTGTTGTAGATCTATATCATCTTTGTTTTCACTTCTAGTTTCTTGTTAGAGTTTAAGACAAATTTCTATAAAATATTTCCATGAGTTGCTAAAGAAAATGAACATTTTTGTTTTACAGGCATTTTCTGCACACAGATTGTATGTGTTTACAGCCAAATCAGCTAAAGATGTTAAGGTAAACCATTTATTCTCTACGTAATTATTTTATCCAATTATTTCAACATGTCAAATGGTGGGTCATTTAACCATATTATTTCCTGTCAATAAACTTAAGGACTGTTTGATGTACATGTACATATGTAAAAGGTCAAATGAAAGGGTCATTGTAAAATTGAAAATGGTTTTCACTGAAAAAAAACTTTGGAGAGATTTTTCTATAAATTATCAAGCATGATATCATGTGGTTGGTAGATGAAGTCTTACGATACTTTGATGAATATGTCAAGGTCATTATTATATTTAGACTTACCAGTTTTCAATATTTTGTTGAATGGTATTTGTGTCAAACAAGCAACTCTTGCTTTGTCTTTCCTGAATTTTCCATATAAATGTACAATATACATGTAGTGGTAAGTATGAAAACACAGTAAAAAGTTACATATATTCATATTTTATTTCAATATTTCAGAAAGAATTCGAGTTTCATTACCTTGATATTAAAGCCATAGAAAGCAAGAGACCAAATCAGGTAAATTTTATTTCAACTGTTGCCAATGTGGGTTGACATTACCTTGTTTAAATCAAATAAAAAAACCCAATTCTTATAGTTTACGTTCTTTTTATATACTGTATGTGAATGCCCTGAACTTTAAGTTGAGGATTGTTTGTAAGCATGTTTTCCTGGTTGACAATCAAATTGTTGATTGTCAGCTAATGGGAGGCTTAGCATAAGGTAAAGAACTTCTTCCCAGCTTAACTTCTACTTTTCTCAAAGTATTCCAATTCAGTCAAACTTTTGTCATCAAGTTCTCTGTTGCATATTGTTACGAGTTTGTTATTTGATCATGTAGCAGAATCATGGCCCTTTGTTTTACATACGGTATGTAATATAAGCAAAATTAAATCATAAATGCCTTATATTTATAAGTCACCTTGAGTTAGTATAAGCTCTAAGTATAAATGATAATTTTGTGGGTTTTTTTTTTCTTCCAGCTTGTGATAACTACCTCATTAATGAACAACAAATCGTTCACGTTCACCACCCTGGAGGCCGATACGGACGAAGTTGATCATATGATCACACATATAGGAACTTCTCTCAAAACTGTCTTTCCTGCATACCCATTAGAGTAAGTTAATACATATAGATTACATGCTCTCAGTCCTACACCAACAAATAATTTTATAAGGTTGTAAAATACTTAAATGCAATAATAATCATTAGTATCATACAAAGCAACAAACCACACAGATATATGCATGTTGTTGGTAAGTATGAGATACATGATCCGAAATATTTAATATCTACATGAAGCAGATAATAAACTGTTCTAGAACAAAATCTTATTATTCATCATATAAATATGCATAATAAATCACTCTTAACTCTATTTACATTTTTTTTGCATTAATTATTATGCCCCCACAATGTGGGAGCATATAGCGTTGCACTTGTCCGTCCGTCCGTCCGTCAGTCCGTCAGTCCGTCCGTCCGTCCGTACGTCCCGAAATCTTGTGAACGCAACTCCTCTTAAACCGAATGGCAGATTTTGCTTAAACTTACAGGGATGAACAACCTTAATGTGTAGATGTTAGTAAAGGAAGGAATTTTTGCTGCGACCAAATTTAACAGAATTATGGCCCTTTGTTGATTTTTTCACTATATACTAAGTAGAAATTTTGTGAACGCAACTCCTCTTAAACCGCATGGCAGATTTTGCTTAAACTTACAGGGATGAACAACCTTAATGTGTAGATGGTAGTAAAGGAAGGAATTTTTGCTGCGACCAAATTTAACAGAATTATGGCCCTTTGTTGATTTTTTCACTATATACTATGTAGAAATTTTGTGAACGCAACTCCTCTAAAACCGCATGGCAGATTTTGCTTAAACTTACAGGGATGAACAACCTTAAGGTGAAGATGGTAGTAAAGGAAGGAATTTTTGCTGCGACCAAATTTTACAGAATTATGGCCCTTTGTTGATTTTTTCACTATATACTATATAGAAATTTTGTGAATGCAACTCCTCTTAAACCGGATGGCAGATTTTGCTTAAACTTCCAAGGATGAACAACCTTTATGTGTAGATGGCAGTAAAGGAAGGAATTTTCGCTGCAACCATATTTAACAGAATTATGGCCCTTTGTTGTTTTTTTCATTATATACTATGTAGAAATTTTGTGAACGCAACTCCTCTTAAACCAGATGGCAGATTTTGCTTAAACTTCCAGGGATTAACAACCTTAATGTGTAGATGTTAGTAAAGGTAGGAATTTTTGCTGCGACCAAATTTAACAGAATTATGGCCCTTTGTTGATTTTTAATTTTCAACTTGTGGCACATGTAGTCCCAAAAATATTTGACCCAGAGTCATAAGATTGACAGAACAGTGGCGTGTGGGGGCATCCGTGTCCTATGGACACATTTCTAGTTTTATCTGAAATTTCCAAATTATATGTTTCTATTGTTTTTATCAATATTTGAATTACTGAAAATTGTGCCCATTGTGAGCCATTCAACTATAATAAAAATAATAATAATAATAATATCACTTTATAACAATAATTCTTAGATATTGTATAATATTACATGTATAATATTACATGTTCACTTGTATACAAATAGTGACATGTGTATAAGTACATGAAACATGATTCATGCACATAGACTGCAATGTTAACTACAGCAGTAATATATATGTCATTAGATCAATATTTAACGTATATATAAAATGATACCTTGTAGAAGGTTGATAAAGACCATAGAAGTACAGCCGCCATCGAGACTAAATCTGATGAACGATCTGATACATACCATTGAACAGAAGGAAACTGGTCCATGTGGTGGCTATACCCTCATGTACTCCTGTATGTGTGACTTCCATTACCTTCCATACAGGGATGAAGTGGCCTGGGTAAGATATTGTCCCTTATCATCAAGTTGTTACATATACATGCACATAACTTCATATATATGTTTTTAAATTTCAAGGTTGACTGACACAGGATCTTGTAATGAATATGCAATGTCATTGTGGTGAATTTATAGTTGTTTCCTAAATAGAAATGTAGTTAAAGTTTCTTAGCTGTATGATATAATTTGAATTTCCTTGTATAATGATTCAAAGTTAAATAAAAGGTGCATTAGTTTATTTGAATAATGAACTGGCTAATTATCTGCAAAAAAAAAAAAGAGTTCATTTCTTATATATATTTAATTGTGGCATAGTTCAGCTTTTACTGAGCGCATCACGTATTTTTTAAATGATGTATAAACCTGTTAATTAAACCAATTAAACCTGTAAAGCATATAAAATATTAACATAGGTAAATGATGATTGTATTTACAGGATGTAGACACTATATACCTGTCACAAGACTCCCGAGAATTATGTCTTAGAGATTTTGACCATTTGAAAGAAAGGTAAAATTCTTAATTAGAAACAGAACATATACAAAAATATGTTACAAACAAATAATAACTGAGCTGAAAATTTTTAATTTAGGTAACAAGGGAACCATCTTACTTTGAATATGTAAGGGTTGTAAAAAAAAAATGAAAAAGATAAATGTTGAAATACTAATAGTCCACGAAAATAATGATCTAAAGTGGCTGCCAGAACAAGATGATTGGCAGTTAAGTACTTGAATAAGGGGAATACATAATAGGTAATTTATTTAATTAATTGGGGAAATAGATAATTTGTAATTAATTGGAATAGTATGTGAAATAAAGAAATAAATGACATTACCCAGGAATGTTACTATTATTAAATAATTTTGGTTGTTGATATAATTTCAGTATAATATTCTCTTCAGTTATTAGATTGCAGAAAGTTTAGGATCATGAATGCCACAGATATATAGAAATTTCATACAGCTTTATTCTGCCCTTGTTTGATTTACATTGATATTCTGTTTGATTTACATTGATATTCTCTATAAGGAACTGGATGTTTATCTCATTTTCAGTAATATTTATCAATGCTTAAAGTAACTGTATATATATTTCAGGGATTTAATACCAATTGTTTCGGCACTTGTTCACAATACATGGTTTACAAGTCTGAATGCAAATAATGTAAAACTGGTAAGTTAAACATCACACTGTCTTACATTATAGTAGCAACCAAAGTCATTCATCATAAAGTTTGAGATACTTATCAAAATATTTTCATTTCTAGTTTGTAGTGACAGAAACAGATAGTTCTTGAGGTGACTAATAACTTGACAAATTTAATTGAGAACAAAAAGTCTCCTCCTTTTAGTGTGGTAAATTGCAGAAGAAATGAATTTTGAACTGTACTGGCATGCGAGCAGTTCCCGTACAGAAGCAGTACCCGTATTTTTCATTTAAACGCTCGATTTTTACTTGCATTCTTCAAAAATTCATTTCAAATCTAGCAGATACATAAACGAGACAAAATCTAAGTGTCAGTTCGGCACATCGTATAAAAAGTCTGATTCTAAATCACTTTCACCTGTGCGTCGTCAAAACGTAACCTTGTTTTCTCTGGGGGATTCCGTCCTTGCGCGCATGCGCAAAAATACTTACACGCGAGGCTTTTTAAAGGGTTTTCCACTAATACCACCTGTTTACAAATAAGTAGGCAATGTGATGAAAACTTAATTATCAGAATTTTGACCAATATTACTATATAAAATAATTTTATGGCTTTGATGCGTAAAATATCACGCATAGAAAGCATGCTATTGCATATGTGAATGCGTTGGGGTAACGGTACCGGGTAATCAATACCCGCGTTTAGTCTACGCTCTATTTCCTGAATAACATCTATTTATCTCTTAGATAATGGTCTGTTCAACAATTGTAAATGAAAAATAGGTCCGATATAATAAAATTGTATAATTATTATGGGTTAGATTTTATGTACGGGAACTACTTCTCTTCATACAAAATAATGGATAATTTCGGTTCCCCATATGAGGCCTCATAAGTAAGGGTTATTCTATGTTTAGAACATTATGGAATTTCCATGATTTGTGTGACGAGCCGAATATTGATGTGTAACATTCAAATTTTGGTGAGTGAGCGTAATAAAAAATAATGTTTAAATAACTATGATTTTTGTACGGGAACTGCTCGCATGCCAGTAGAGTTTTTTTAAAAAGCTAGATTGTTGTTATTTGACACATGGATGTGTAATCGAACAGAACAAGATAGCTGTCATCATTGTTTATATTTTGTTAGATTGATAAAAAGTCTTAGTTCACCTTCTCACCCTACTGGGCAGGAACCAGTTTCCGGACAGAATTTGAGTTTATAAAACTAACATACCAAAAACCTGGGCTCTAACTACGTCCGATAACAAAATTAATACTGCCTGGTGACGTAAGCAATGTACAAACTGAAGGGTTGAATAAGGTCATCAAAAGTGTAAATTGTTCACTCTTGCAGAACCAGTTTCCAGACATATATTAAGCTGCTATTCATATCTGTTTTTAACTGATAATTATTCTAATATAACAAAAAAATTCTTCTCACATATTAGCTTTCTTATATAATTAAGCTGATTTACTGAAATATGTTTATGATAGGAAAAATAACGATCATGTGATGGGTCTTGGAATGACTGAAAAGTGAAACGGATATTTTTGTGTGTACGGCAGCAACGAAGTGCGAAAGTGGAGTAAACCTAGCTAAACACCGTTTTCCGATACGTTACAGATTTAGCTCTGGGGTTACACCCAATGAACTTCGAATGAAGTACATTGTGCATTAATTGCTACCCCAAATTATATCCCGAAATAAACAAAATATTGCACATGCGCAGAACAAATTACATGCCCCAAAGGGATATAAGGCTGTTTTTAAAACACAGTTAAGATATCCTCACGAAATTTTAATGATGTATCAACTTGGAAGGAAGTTTATTTTCTCAAACAATCAAACCAAGCATCTTCATGACATATAATACCGATCGTCATCGATAAAGCCAAAATTAAGCCGTTATAATACTTGTCCGGAAACTGGTATTGTCCGGAAACTGGTTCCTGCCCAGTAGAGAAAAAGAAACAATAACTATTAGACAAAGGAAGGCTGGGTGACATTGTCTGCTTTATAATGCTATATGTTATACATTGTTTAAAATATTAAATCGATGATTAAGTTATAAAAGGAAGTTTAAAAACAATAATATTTATAGTAAGTATTTGTTTTAACTCATACCATGTAGTGAAACAAGGTAGTTTATTATAGTAGATTATTAATATGAAAAAGTTTCTCCTCTGTGGCTAAATGAATGAAATTCCTGACCTTGACCCCTTCAATGTGTTTGATTCTGGAATGCTGTCAGTGAGGGGGGGGGGATCATTATTTTTTATGAGGAAACAGTCGTGTATATTAATGGTTTACTAAAGTACAAAGTATAATGTCAGTCTTCCAAGGATTTAAGTCTTACAAGTTTTAAGTTCCGGATGACTTTAAGGACAATTTGGTGAATGACAATATTGTATTATTTTTAGAATTCAGATGTTTGCACTGAAGTCCTTCGTGTCATGAAAAAGAATTCTGTGATAGAAGCCTTGTTGCTTAGCAACACCGGTATTACAACGTAAGTTGTCAACACAGCAGATATAATAGAAATTAATTTTTTAAACACTGTTGATTACTTTAAAATGAGGTATTAACAGATTAGAAACATTTATTATTATGCGTAATTGTGTGAGGAAGTGATCTTTGAAATTAAGAAACAATAACTCTTTATGCATAACTATAAACAGTTGTAGATAAGTATGCTTGTTAAAGATGAATTGAACATTGTGTTGGTCATTGTTATATTTATTTTTTGAAACAATGTCTTTATGCAGTGATAGTACTTTGTTCAAGTCCTTAGGTTTGACACATATTTTTCTTACAACATTATTATTACTATTACTATTCATGCTATTAAGCCAGTGATTGACCACTTTGTGACTGTCTGCAGGTGTATTACTGAAATATATTTCGCAACTTCAATTAACTCCAAAAAACTGACACAGGTTTTACATGATAAATCAGTTAATATCTATATATTACTGTATTACAGAGATTTCATCAAGAAACTGTCAACTATTTCTATGTCTGATACACAGCTACACAAACTTGATCTATCCAATAATCCAATAGAAGATGAAGGTTAGTTTAATATAAGCTTAACAAGTCAAATATTTTATTGGCAAAAACATACACATGTTCATAGCCAAGTAATTTTCATGTTTTATTATCTCACTGCATTTTAAATGACTGCCAGGCACAACAGTTTACTGGGAAGGTTGAATACTTATACCAGTTGCCATTCTTGGAAGAACAAAATCTTATCATTTCAGGATAATTAAGCAATCAAGTAAGCTTGCAGGAGGTCAGTTGTTGCACATTGTTGATGACTTTATGATAAAAAAAGGCAACTTAAACCTCACTTGAGCAGTACAGCTATAAAAATGCAACCTAAATATATTCTGTTAGATTTTAAAGCTCATGAAAAATGCGTGATGTACTGAATTGAACCATTGTCTAGCAAAAATCTTAAAATAATTTTACTTAGTTTTTCATTATATTCATTACATTAATTTACATTTGTTACACAAATGCAATACATGACTAAAAGGAAATCACTATAGAAAAACAAGAAATATGTTTGAAACATATTTTATTTTCAATATTTCAGGTGCAGAGCATATATTTGGTGCATTGAGTAGCCGTGGACGAAGAGTGACATGGTTAGACTTGTCAAAAACTCGAATCACTTCTAAAGGTTTGAACAAAATATCCGAGTTAATGAGTAGAAGCCCACATGTGTTCAATACCTTACAGACCCTGGTACTGGCAGGTGTTACGTCTGGCAACAAGCCTGATGATCTACAGGTATCTTTATATATTGTCAGGTGTCCTAGAAAGGAACCTATTTTAAGTTCAACACTACTGGTCAGGGACCACCAACCGGACACTTTTTGAACATTTTTCCATACTGATTTCATAATTTTAAAGCTAGAGATCTGAAAATGTGACACAGTTAGCTAGGTTCTTCTCCTAACTAATGAACTAGTTTGTTTATTTCTGATTGTGTTGACACTTATATCTGAGGCCCATCAATGAGGTTACCAAAAATTACCTAAATTGTATACACTACAGTACCATGTGTCCAGACAGATTTGTACATGATGTTGATTTAATTATGATAAAAACTTAGGTGTTTTAATTTATATTTTTAACATGATATACAATATTTCAGCAACAAATGCTAAAGATTTGGATATTCTATTGTTTACTCTGCAAAAGATTATAGCTAGTATAAGAGGTCAGGTATTGTAATCTTGACGTTCAAATTTTCAACATCAACATCCTTGAAATAGATGTTAAACTATTATCATTTTTGAATGTTGAAAAAAATCAAATTACTTAATTATAGAAGAAACATGTATTTATTGTTGATAAAAAGCCGCTGATAGATCGACAACCATTGAACAAAGAAAGAAAACTAGATATAAAGTAGGAAGAAATTTCAATAAAAAACAAATATTAGCAGAATATCTAGTGTTCCTTATATATAATTTTTTTCTTCAGAACCTTTATGCATTTTTGGCATCACCAAACATGTTAAGTCATCTAGACCTGTCAGGCACTGATGTAGAACTTGATAAGGTAATACTTTTTTACTTCTTATAAAAAATCATATGAGCCGTGCCATGACAAAACCAACATAATGGGCATCCGCGCAGTCTGATCAGGATCCATGCTGTTCGCTTACCAACCCTATTACAAGTAGAGAAACTGATAGCGAACAGCATGGATCTTGATCCGACTGCGCGGATGCGCAGGCTGATCCGCGCAGGCTGGTCTGGATCTATGCTGGTCACAAACACACTATGTTGGTTTTGTCGTGACGCAGCTCATATTGTCCCATTTCTATGAACATGAAAAGCATTATGCATACCAGGAATTCTTACATTTAGTAAGTGAGAATGTATCTGTTTGTTATTTTGTTATTTCATATTCTTTATAAAGGAAGAAACCCCTTGTGGTGGACAGGTTGCCTTTAAGGATTGAGACATTAGAATTGCAGCAACTGTTTATCCCTGCGTGATTGTAAGAGGCGACTAAATGTGTTTGAATAACTGGAGTCGATGCGTCTCTCCAGCAGATGATTTGGTTTTGACTATTGGTGTTGCTATAATTTTGTAACACCCTAGGTTAACCAAAGTCATTGTTCCTGTTTGGGCGCCATATGACTTAGATTAGATTGTGCTGGTGGGCATAAAAATGAAACATAACAAAACATATCAAGAATGTAGAGTGGTATTTGTATTGATGCTATGATTCGTAATTCTATTATTGTAAATTAGGGAAATCAGTCTATATAGTTTATACAGTAATGCTTTTACATGTTTGTATGAATTTATATCAATTCACAGTTTTATTATGATGAATATTAAGTAATGAAGGTAGAAATGAAGAAGGCAGTTATTAAGGATTAACTACACTATTGTCATACTGGCTTCAATTATGTTTCTGAAATGCTAACAGCAATAATTATGTGTCTCTGCCATCAGTATACTGTCTGTCCAGCCTCCATATTCTTGTAGTCTATACAGATAGCTAGCTGGTCAATTTTCTTGTGTCATTTTTGATTTCTCCTCCACAGAAGAATTATAATAGAAAAATCCCATTGATGAATTATGAAAAGCCTTTTCCAGATTAATAGACAGATAAATCCATTATTAAAATATACCAAGGCAAAGAATCTGATCATTGAATTACTACAGTGTTAATTTGGATCCTTGTTATGATTGAGTCTTTCCTTTTTGATGTTGAAAAAGTCATAAAATTGCTCAAAATTTAAATTAAAAATAACATAATATGTTATAAGATTGCTCTAAACTTAAGTTAAAAATAACATTATATAATTTCAGTTAATGTCACCTTTACAAAGAGGTTGTAGTCAGAATATAACAGAGCTGAAGTTAGCAAGGACAACATTCTCTAACAAGAAGAGTAAAGATATTGTTGTACAGGCATCATTCAAACAGTTCTTTGCCTCTGTGTATGCCCTCAAACATATAGATCTGTCAGGAGCAAAATTACCAGCAGATGCTATCAAGTAAGTGAAAATATAATGTGTCGGTTTTCAGGAAAAGTGTCTGCAGTGTAACTTCTGCGGAGCGACTCTATATATAGTTATAAATAACATTCTTTCAGTATCAGTTTTTCCCACAATTAATTTAAACTCTTATGAGATAAAGTTCTCATCAACAGCTGAAGTTTTTGTCTTCTCATGGTTATTTTCTGTTTGGCTAGACAATTCCTAAAATCTAAATGAGGCCTATGTGAATGAAATATAAAGATTACTTACATTGAATTTCTTGGGCCTTCAAATTTTGATCAAGATAATTTGTTGTTGCCTGTGAAGAAGCTATCCTTCCAAACTAACTTATGGAAAGTTGGTGGTTTAATGGGTGCTTATGCATTTCAGGGACCTACTGCTGGGGATTAGCTCAAACAGAAATATTCAAGATGTTCATTTAGACATCAGTGGTATGGAATTACCAGGTCAGGCCGCCCAGTACTTACAAAATTGTTTGACCAAGAATATCTCCAGCTTAAATATGAGCAATATTGGTAAGTGTTAGTCTATGTTTTTATAGATTATCTTTGCCAGAGTTATGTTAAAGATATCTACTATGCTTTATACATGAGTATATTTATATTACTCAGCACAATATTTTATTTGTTTTCAATTATTTAAGGTAGACCATGGGTAATGCATTACCTCCACATTGAAGAGTATTCAAATAGGCTAGAATACATTGAAATTGAGGGGCGTGGGTTCAAACCCAAGAAGGGACAACTATTTTTTCTTTCTTTTTTTCTTTTTAACATTATTTATGTATCTCTCTGATCCATTATGGAAGAAAAAAGTGTTTGATTTAAATTATTTAATTATTGTAGGTATTTATTTTCTAAATAATGCCAAAATTTATAACAAATATGATACCAGATATATTTAAACTTCTATAAAATAAAAACTGCACGGTAAAAGTATTTTATATTTCACATGATCAACCAATATACCTTTAAAAAAATTCAGGCAAAACTTGAAAACAGCCCCTCATTGTGGTAAATTTTAGGGATATTTTGAATAAGGCTTTTTATATAGGGAAATGGTCAAATTAGTATTTAAAGTGGGTGGGGTAGGGTAACATTTTTATACATATTAAGAACATTTTGTTTAGAAACAATCATTTTGCTTGTGTAATTAGTTACCTGAATGTTATTATTTGTTTCTTAACAATGAGCAATAGGGAAACATTTTTCATAATGATGATATTATAGATTTTTTAAAGTTTCCTTATTTCTGAAAATAAGCCCTTCAAATAGCAAAGTCTTAGTTCAGAAATATATCCATAACTCATAAACCACACGGTAAATTTTATTTAGATTTTGCAATCAGGTGACCTTGAAGACATATAACTGTCCTATGTTGTCAATTCCTTATAGTGCCCATTACCCATGGTCTACCTTAAGCTAGTATGTTGGCAATTTGGTATTCATATAAACTTGGTAATTCGGTCAGATAGCTAGATCTTATTCTTACTTATTCAAGGGAGTTAATGGTGGTTTTAGTCAACCTTACCCTCAGTCAATATATACATACAGATTTTTTATTTCACTTTTGAAGTGTAATCAGAAAAGTAATGATGTTACTTATGTTTATAGTAGTGTAATAAGTATTCTTAAAGGAATAAATAGGTAAAAGTGTTCAATATATTTATTGAATAATAATAATAATAAAGAAAAAAAAACACAGAAAAAAAGCAATATGAGATTTTATGAATGTTACAATTACAGGATTTACAGACACTGATCTCCTCTTTGTGCTGAACAGTATTGGCACCACAAAACAAGTGCGCCAACTCTCCATGGGAGGGGTCTTCAGAAATATCAAACCAAAGTAAGACTTGTCTGTATTATATGTAATTAGTAAATAAAGCAAATAACAATGAACAAAGACTTATTTCATAGTTTCGATTTGATTTTGATTTTTCCCATACTTTGTGAAATGACCATCCAAAACCTTTTTTGTTTTTAAATCTTAAAATTTTATTAAATAGTTAATAAAATAAGTTTAAACAATAAATAATTTATTGTAAAAGATATTGATGCTCCATTTATATGAAGAAAAATACAAAAAAAAAATTTTAAGAAAACAGGGTATATACGTTTTAAATCTTTAAAAAAATGATTTAAAATAATTAATTTTTATTTTTAGAAACTTAAACTTTAAAAGCAAATAGTTGTGTTAACAAGATTTGCTTTAAGATTTAAAAAGAGTTTTATTGTTAACATTTTTTTTTTGAATGAAATAAAATCTATTTAAATCAAGGTTTTATTATTCAATATTATTCTATTGACTTCATTGATTGTATAGACATTGTTTGTGTTGTAGAGAAATTGTTTGTGTTGTAGAGACATTGTTTGTGTTGAAGAGACATTGTTTGTGATGTAGAGACATTGTTTGTGTTGAAGAGAAATTGTTTGTGTTGTAGAGACATTGTTTGTGATGTAGAGACATTGTTTGTGTTGTAGAGAAATTGTTTGTGTTGCAGAGACATTGTTTGTGATGTAGAGACATTGTTTGTGATGCAGAGACATTGTTTGTGTTGTAGAGACATTGTTTGTGTTGTAGAGACATTGTTTGTGTTGTAGAGAAATTGTTTGTGTTGCAGAGACATTGTTTGTGATGTAGAGACATTGTTTGTGTTGTAGAGAAATTGTTTGTGTTGTAGAGACATTGTTTGTGATGTAGAGACATTGTTTGTGTTGTAGAGAAATTGTTTGTGTTGCAGAGACATTGTTTGTGATGTAGAGACATTGTTTGTGCTGCAGAGACATTGTTTGTGTTGTAGAAACATTGTTTGTGTTGTAGAGACATTGTTTGTGATGTAGAGACATTGTTTGTGTTGTAGAGGCATTGTTTGTGATGTAGAGACATTGTTTGTGATGTAGAGACATTGTTTGTGTTGTAGAGAAATTGTTTGTGTTGAAGAGGCATTGTTTGTGTTGAAGAGGCATTGTTTGTGATGTAGAGACATTGTTTATGTTGTAGAGGCATTGTTTGTGATGTAGAGACATTGTTTGTGATGTAGAGACATTGTTTGTGTTGTAGAGAAATTGTTTGTGTTGTAGAGACATTGTTTGTGTTGTAGAGACATTGTTTGTGTTGTAGAGAAATTGTTTGTGTTTGCAGAGAAATTGTTTGTGTTGTAGAGACATTGTTTGTGTTGAAGAGACATTGTTTGTCATGTAGAGACATTGTTTGTGTTGAAGAGACATTGTTTGTGATGTAGAGACATTGTTTGTGTTGTAGAGGCATTGTTTGTGTTGTAGAGACATTGTTTGTGTTGTAGAGACATTGTTTGTGTTGTAGAGACATTGTTTGTGATGTAGAGACATTGTTTGTGTTGTAGAGACATTGTTTGTGATGTAGAGACATTGTTTGTGTTGTAGAGACATTGTTTGTGATGTAGAGACATTGCTTGTGTTGTAGAGGCATTGTTTGTGATGTAGAGACATTGTTTGTGATGTAGAGACATTGTTTGTGATGTAGAGACATTGTTTGTGTTGTAGAGGCATTGTTTGTGATGTAGAGACATTGTTTGTGATGTAGAGACATTGTTTGTGTAGTAGAGAGACTGTTTGTGTTGTAGAGACATTGTTTATGTTGAAGAGGCATTGTTTGTTATGTAGAGACATTGTTTATGTTGTAGAGGCATTGTTTGTGATGTAGAGACATTGTTTGTGATGTAGAGACATTGTTTGTGTTGTAGAGAAAATTGTTTGTGTTGTAGAGACATTGTTTGTGTTGTAGAGACATTGTTTGTGTTGTAGAGAAATTGTTTGTGTTGCAGAGAAATTGTTTGTGTTGTAGAGACATTGTTTGTGTTGTAGAGACATTGTTTGTCATGTAGAGACATTGTTTTGTGTTGTAGAGGCATTGTTTGTGATGTAGAGACATTGTTTTGTGTTGTAGAGACATTGTTTGTGTTGTAGAGACATTGTTTGTGTTGTAGAGACATTGTTTTGTGTTGTAGAGACATTGTTTGTGATGTAGAGACATTGTTTGTGTTGTAGAGACATTGTTTGTGATGTAGAGACATTGTTTGTGTTGTAGAGGCATTGTTTTGTGATGTAGAGACATTGTTTGTGATGTAGAGACATTGTTTGTGATGTAGAGACATTGTTTGTGTTTGTAGATACATTGTTTGTGATGTAGAGACATTGTTTGTGATGTAGAGACATTGTTTGTGTTGTAGAGACATTGTTTGTGTTGAAGAGACATTGTTTGTGATGTAGAGACATTGTTTGTGTTGTAGAGGCATTGTTTTGTGATGTAGAGACATTGTTTGTGATGTAGAGACATTGTTTGTGTTGTAGAGAAATTGTTTGTGTTGTAGAGACATTGTTTGTGTTGTAGAGACATTGTTTGTGTTGTAGAGAAAATTGTTTGTGTTGCAGAGAAAATTGTTTGTGTGTTCTGTAGAGACATTGTTTGTGTTGAAGAGACATTGTTTGTCATGTAGAGACATTGTTTGTGTTGTAGAGGCATTGTTTGTGATGTAGAGACATTGTTTGTGTTGTAGAGACATTGTTTGTGTTGTACAGACATTGTTTGTGTTGTAGAGACATTGTTTGTGATGTAGAGACATTGTTTGTGTTGTAGAGACATTGTTTGTGATGTAGAGACATTTGTTTGTGTTGTAGAGGCATTGTTTGTGATGTAGAGACATTGTTTGTGATGATGTAGAGACATTGTTTGTGATGTAGAGACATTGTTTGTGTTGAAGAGACATTGTTTGTGTTGTAGAGACATAGTTTGTGTTGTAGAGACATTGTTTGTGATGTAGAGACATTGTTTGTGATGTAGAGACATTGTTTGTGATGTAGAGACATTGTTTGTGTTGTAGAGGCATTGTTTGTGATGTAGAGACATTGTTTGTGTTATAGAGAAATTGTTTGTGATGTAGAGACATTGTTTGTGTTGAAGAGACATTGTTTGTGTTGTAGAGACATTGTTTGTGATGTAGAGACATTGTTTGTGATGTAGAGACATTTCTGTGATGTAGAGACATTGTTTGTGTTGTAGAGACATTGTTTGTGATGTAGAGACATTGTTTGTGTTGTAGAGAAATTGTTTGTGATGTAGAGACATTGTTTGTGTTATAGAGAAATTGTTTGTGTAGTAGAGAGACTGTTTGTGTTGTATTGACACTGTGTTGTAGAGACATTGTTTGTGATGTAGAGACATTGTTTGTGTTGTAGAGACATTGTTTGTGATGTAGGCACATTGTTTGTGATGTAGAGACATTGTTTGTGTTGTAGAGACATTGTTTGTGATGTAGAGACATTGTTTGTGTTGTAGAGAAATTGTTTTTGTGTTGTAGAGACATTGTTTGTGTTGAAGAGACATTGTTTGTGATGTAGAGACATTGTTTGTGTTGTAGAGGCATTGTTTGTGATGTAGAGACATTGTTTGTGTTGAAGAGACATTGTTTGTGTTGTAGAGACATTGTTTGTGTTGTAGAGACATTGTTTGTGTTTGTAGAGACATTGTTTATATTGTAGAGACATTGTTTGTGATGTAGAGACATTGTTTGTGATGTAGAGACATTGTTTGTGATGTAGAGAAATTGTTTGTGTTGTAGAGACATTGTTTGTGATGTAGAGACATTGTTTGTGTTGTAGAGAAATTGTTTGTGTAGTAGAGACATTGTTTGTGTTGTAGAGACGTTGTTTATATTGTAGAGACATTGTGTTATTTGTTTGTGCTGAATATACATTGTGTTGTATAGATTTTGTGTTGTATAATAGGCATTGTTTTTGTTGTTGAGACATTGCGTTGTAGAGACATTGTTTGTTTTATACAGTTATTGTTTGTGGTGTACAGACATTGTTTGTTGTGTAGGGACATTGTTTGTGTTGTATAGAATTGTTTGTGTCGTAGAGAGACTGTTTTGTTTGTATTGACACCTGTTGTTGTATAGACTTTGTTTTGTGTTGTATAGACATTGTTTGTGTATGTTTTACAGATTTTGAATAAAATTGTTTTGTGTATGTTTACAGATGATAGAATCTCTGCTCTTTTGGCTGACAGTAAACTAAGGGACAGTATGAACATATCATCAACGCTCTAGGCAGTAATCACATCACTGACTGAGATAGATATCAGGTAGATCAGCTCGTTTCTATTATATTTCCTTATTTTCCTTTTAATGATGGAAAATTAATTTAGAAATATCTAAAAAAAAAACATTTTACTTTTTGGAACCTCAACCATGTTAACCTTTATTATCAGTTTGTGTATAAATTGAATGTACCTCTCATTTCATCCTGATATATTTGTGAAGAGTTCATTTACTTACTATCCTTAAAAAAGATTCTACTTTTTGAAAATTGAAAATAATTTAAATTTTCATTAAAGTTATTTATTTATATCTACATTTACTTTTTTTCAATCTTTATATTGTGTATCCAAAATGAAAGTGAATATCTAATGATTATACATTGTTCATTATGTTTCAGTGGAAATCAGATGGGAGATCTTGGGGCTAGAATGTTGTCTAAAGCTTTACAGATTAACAATAAACTGAAGGCAATCTACTGGGATAAAAACAACACAACATCACAGGGATTTGAAGATGTAGCAGATGCTTTAGAAAAGTAAGTCAATTCATCATCAGCTTGGTACGAGAGTGTTATACCTTCTTCTTGATTTCAAAAGAGTTGCAACTGTTTGTATGAAGCTCTTGCTGATGCCTGTATGTTGATTTATTTCAATTGATGTTTTCTAAACACTTTTAATTTTTATCTTCTATTGATCAGTGTGGCAAACTCGATATGTTTGAGTGTCGCCTTTTGCCAGAACTGGTGTTTTCAGGTCTACCTTTTACTTTTACAATATTGTTTGACTTTGTTTGAACTACATAAAACGGACGACTGTGTGTCAACAAAGACCATACTTGGATTCATAACTAGATATTACAGCAATTATTCAGCATAAAGAAAAGTTTTATTTGCTCTAGTAACTCTTTTAAAGAAAATAATGTTTTGAACTTATACCTAATTGAATAACAGACACATGACAAAATGTTATGAAGTGTTTTAACTGTTAACATAACCTCTTCAACTGTAAAAGGGTTCCCCATTCATAGCTGAGCATGTCATGTATAATTATATTTTAGAAATTTTACATTGAGAAAGATGCCAATGCCAGTATTTGATGCTAGTGTCAACCCAGAGAGAAATGAACAAGCTTTACAAAGGGTAAAATATCATGTTTAATCATTTATTTTTTTCATTGATAACAATATTGGAGAAAATAATATGTTCAGTGAACTTTAAATTATGTAGTTTGCTAGTGTTAACACTATGTTAGACTACATACATTTAAAAGCTGGTCTAGATTTGTTCTATACAAACTTGAGAGTTTATTAAATTTTGCATAAAATCATCACTGATGCTCTTTTTTCCTGATTTTTGTTGTTACGAACCTTAAACATATTTATATTGTTGGGTACTAGTGGCTTAATTGTCTGTAACTCAACATTGACCATACTTTCTTTTGAAATGTAAAACCTGGGCAAGTATAATTTGCCTGGTTAAGAAAGATTTTGTAAACTATGTTATTATTATCAGGATGTAATTTGAGGTAAAATTTTTATCAGTATTATATAATTGTTATTGTAGATAGAGAGATTATTACAACGTAATCATAGTCCACAGAAATACTCGTCTGATCAGGCCTACAGATTACAGCAAGGATTCCTCATCAGTTCTACACAACAGGTTGTACATTCATTACTGCTATATCAACTTTACAGGTCTTAGAATGGGGAGAGTGTAGGGTTTGTAAACATCTGGTCAAGATGCGACACCAGAAGTCAATTGTCTTGTGGCTCTATTTATTTGAATTTCGTCATGGAGGCTTTTTTTCCAAATGAGAAAGTTACCTCAATGGAAAGTTGAAAGTTTTTGACTGCTTAGATTGGATATTGCACAAATACTCTCATCTGTTCTGTCTATCCCAGTAAAACTGGTGGTGTATTTAAAATGTATATTTATATTCAGCAATTCTTGTTTTAAATAAATGTGTATCATTTTAACAAAAGATTTTCTGTGAAAATGTTTATTGGATCAATTGATTAACAAACGTTAAGAATTTTAATAAAGTTAAGTTAAGTTACAATATATATTTCTGGACCTCATTTTAGATGATAGGCAATTAAAGACTGCGTTAAAAAAATATCTAGAAAATTCTAGACTGTGTAATAATATTTCAAATAAATCTAGACTGTGTAAAAATATTTCAGATGGTAGATAGACTGGTCGTACAATCACAGGATACAATCAATGCCCTGGAGTCAATGAACGCCCTACAGCCATGTAGTGGGGATATTGATGTAGCAAAGGCTTTAATAAAAGATGCTGATAACTCTAAAACAGTGAGTTATCTTGTTTATAATTTTGTTAGTCATTGAACAAAGAGAACAAAAAACATATATTTTTCATGATGGCTCAATACTCCTACCGCAGTATCATAATCTAATAGGGTTTTGGCCTTGCACAGTAACAAGCATAGACTTCAAAATGTGTGTATCCATATTTATGAGGGACAAATATAACATTTTGAGGGGTGTGAAAATCACTTTTAAGCTACCTCTGTATAGAAACCATACCTCTGTAAAGAGAACATGTCATTTAATCATGTCATTGTTTCATTTTCCTAAATGAAAAGTTATATTTTAAAGATCACCTTTTTGTATTGATACCCAATGAACAAGGCACATCAGTTCTACATGATTGGTATTTATAGAAGATTTGGAGTCATGATCTTAGTCAAAAACTGCAATCATAGAAGGTGGTGGGAAATGAAAAAAGTGACATTTGTTTACAGGTTATCTTCTTAAAGATATATTTCTACCAGAGAAAGTAACTGGGTAATTTCTAGATTGAAACCAAAGGAGTTATCTGTTACTGCACTTCTGTCATTTCAGATGAAATTATATGATTACATATGACTGTCAAATTTAAATTTTAATGAAGTGGCATTTTTAGCTCGACTATACGAAGTATATGGAGAGCTGTCCTACTCGCCCCGGCGTCGGCGTCCGCGTCCGCGTCCAGATTTTAGATTAAAGTTTTGGTGCAGTAAAATATTTTTCACTATAACTTTGTCATTTCTTAAGGTATCAACTTGAAACTTCAAATATATGTTCCTTATCATCAACCACATCTTATGTGACAAGGTTCATAACTCTAGCAACCAATATTTTCAGATTTATCTCCCTTGAACTTAGAATTTTCCCTTAAAAAAAATACTAATTTTTTACTGTTCCTTCTTTATTTCTTAAGGGATTCAACCTCATACTTCAAATATATGTACCTTATCATCATCCCCCATCTTATGTGACAAGGTTCATAACTCTAGCACCAATATATTTTCAGATTTATCTCCCTTGAACTTAGAATTTTCCTCAAAAAGTACTATTTCTTACTGTTTCTTCTTTATTTCTTAAGGGGTATCAACCTCATACTTCAAATATATTTACGTTATCATCATCCCCATCTTATGTGACAAGGTTCATAACTCTAACACACAATATTTTCAGATTTATCTCCCTTTGAACTTAGAATTTTCCATAAAAAATTATTATTTTTTACTGTTACTTATTTATTTCTAAAGGGATCAACTTCATACATCAAATATATTTACGTTTATCATCATCCACATCTTATGTGACAAGGTTCATATAACTCTAGCACAATATTGCAAGAATTATCTCCCATAAACTTAGATTTTTTTACTAGAAAAATGTTATTTTTTATTATAACTTTTTTATTTTTAAAGGTATCCACCTCAAACTTCAAATACTTATTCCTTATCATCAATTACATTTTATGTGACAATTTTCATAACTCTTGAAGCAATATTTACACATTTATCTCTCTTTGAACTTAGGATTTTCTTTAAAAGAAATATAATAACTTCTTTTTAAGGTATCTACTTCAAACTTCAAAATATATATTTGCTTATCATTACACAAATGTTGTGTGACAAGGTCCATAACTCTAGCATGACTATTTCTAGAATTATTCCCCTTGATCTTGGAATTTATGTTAACAAATATTATTTTTTTACTATAACTTAATACATAATTATACATAATTGATGTTTCTTTCATAGTTTTGTCCTCCTTGCTGCGTCCAGTATTTTATTAGTCGAGCTTCGCTGTCTCCTGTGACAGCTCTTGTTAATATTTTTCAGTTGTTACCAAGACTACGTGACATTGCCATACAGTCACAGAACACGAGTAGCCCGGTGGCTGCTAAACTGAAGGAAATCTCAGAGGAACTTAAAAAAGTTCTTGAATCTCAAATGAAGGTAATTATGGATTAGTATTCAAGTATTATTGAGTGATTGATTTTAGGTTTATATTGAATGTAGGATAGACTTTTGTTTATTAATATATTATTTAAAAGTATAAGGACAATGCTTCTACATTGTTTTTATGCCCCCACAAAGTGGGGCGCATATAGCGTTGCACTTGTCCGTCTGTCCGTACGTCTGTCCGTTAGTACGTCTGTCCGTACATCCCGAAATCTTGTGAACACAACTCCTCTTAAACCGGATGGCAGATTTTGCTTAAACTTCCAGGGATGAACAACCTTAATGTGTAAATGGTAGTAAAGGAAGGAATTTTCGCTGCCACCAAATTTAACAGAATTATGGCCCTTTGTTGATTTTTTCACTATATACCATATATATGTTGTCAGTAGGAGCATCCGTGTCCTTTGGACACAGTTCTAGTTCTAATCTATCTTCTTACATACATAAATGGTAAAGAACAAGACAAATGGCGATAAATATATTAATTTTGCTGCTTTTGTCTCTCTATAGTATGTTATGGCACAGAGGTTAACAAATAGCCATTTACTTGTATCTAATCATTTATGAGAACATCCACCAGTTTGTTTAGACTTGCAATAATTACAATGTCTTTCAATTAAATTGTAATACTACCGTATAAGTACTTATTTCTTCGGGCTTAATATTCTGCGATTTTTAGCTCGACTATTCGATAAGAATAAGTAGAGCTATTGTAGTCACCCGAGCGTCGGCGTCAGTGTCAGCGTCGGCGTCTGCGTCGGCGTAACCACTTATGTTAAAGTTTTTGTAATAGTTTTAATATTTTCAAAGTCCATTGACATATGGCTTTGAAACTTTGCACACTTGTTCACCATCATTACCCCAACCTGTAAACAGGAGGAGGTAACTCTATCAAGCATTTTGACAGAATTATGTCCCTTTTTCGACTTAGAATTTATGTTAAAGTTTTTGTAATAGTTCAAATATTTTCAAAGTCCATTGACATATGGCTTTGAAACTTTGCACACTTGTTCACCATCATTACCCCAACCTGTAAACAGGAGGAGGTAACTCTATCAAGCATTTTGACAGAATTATGCCCCTTTTTCGACTTAGAATTTATGTTAAAGTTTTTGTAATAGTTCAAATATTTTCAAAGTCCATTGACATATGGCTTTGAAACTTTGCACACTTGTTCACCATCATTACCCCAACCTGTAAACAGGAGGAGGTAACTGTATCAAGCATTTTGACAGAATTATGCCCCTTTTTCGACTAAGAATTTACGTTAAAGTTTTTGTAATAGTTCAAATATTTTCAAAGTCCATAGACATATAGCTTTGAAACTTTGCACACTTGTTCACCATCATTACCCCAACCTGTAAACAGGAGGAGGTAACTGTATCAAGCATTTTGACAGAATTATGCTCCTTTTTCGACTTAATATTTACGTTAAAGTTTTTGTAATAGTTCAAATATTTTCAAAGTCCATTGCCATATGGCTTTGAAACTTTGCACACTTGTTCACCATCATTACCCCAACCTGTAAACAGGAGGAGGTAACTGTATCAAGCATTTTGACAGAATTATGCCCCTTTTTCAACTTAGAATTTACGTTAAAGTTTTTGTATTAGTTCAAATATTTTCAAAGTCCATTGACATATGGCTTTGAAACTTTGCACACTTGTTCACCATCATTACCCCAACCTGTAAACAGGAGGAGGTAACTGTATCAAGCATTTTTTTTACTATCAAGCACTAAGAATAGTCGAGCGTTGCTGTCCTACCGACAGCTCTTGTTGTTAAAATAAGGGGTTTTTGAGTTTCTGGGTATCTTATTTCTGCGGTGTCATCATTCTCGCATTGATGTTTTTTATTTCTGCGTTTTAATTTAGATACTTTTACAAAATTAACCCAATTAAACAGACAACATTTCAAGATTTGTTGATGTAACAAGTACATTACTTCCGTAAACATGCAGACGACTTATAATGTGTTTCATCATAATCATCATGTATTGGTATATAAACGTTAATAAACAAAAATCAACAACGTGCAATGACAACAATTAATTGTAATACTGCATGTGTATAAATATGTAGTGTGAAAAATAAACAATGGTAAAATTGCACGTAAACACAAGATATTGTACAAATACAAAAGGGTATGTTTATTGCACCTGTCACACTTTAATTGTTTTATTTTACAAAAAAATCAAGCTTAGGGTGAGTGAAAATCATACAAACATGATATTTATTTAAACAGAAAGAACAAGTAAAGTAACTTTTTTTCTAATATTTTATTCATGAGAGATTCATAAAGAAACATATCTATAAAAGCCGATAACAATACAGGGTAATGTAATTATACAGTAAAGGTAGTTGACATATTCCGACATAGACATATGGGAAGGCTTAATTTTCTGCGGTTTTTAAATCTGCGGTGTCATTACAAACTGCAGAAATAGCAGAAAAAAAGTACTTATACGGTATCTTGATACAAATTTATTTGTTCATCACTTTTTTGAGAGACCAATATTTAATGAAGGAAATAAGAATATTATTTTAGGACAACAATTTTTCCATTTTCAGAAAACTGTACAAGACATGTTGGATGCTGCAAGTAATCAGTGCAAAGCCTTGATGAAAGATGAGGTAAAACTATCTTATACAGGGTTACTAATAGATGTTATAGGTGTTATAGGTGTTGTGTAATGTATGCTTGACAAAAAGATAATGTAGTTAAAAATTTGATCATGACCTTTGTTTGGTTTGTTCTTTCAAATGAACATAACTATGGCTTGACCATGTTTGATTCCTGCTTAGATCCCTGTTTATACCCAAATTAATTTGCCTGAACGAGAAGTTTGTCGTTAATGGAAAAAAGGCGAAATTTTTTTAACTTTCTTAGAAAGTGTTCCATTTACAAGATCCATATGAAGGATGTTGTTTCCTGGTCAAGGTCATACTTATATCCAAAGGGTTTTTTCCTGTGCATTTATCTATTGATTATGGAAGGGAACATACTGTTTGTGTTCTGTCTTTGTACCTGTGGACAATTTTAATGACTGTAACTTAGAGTGTTCATATTTTAATGCAACACACATGTACTTTTTGACTGTTTACAGTAAGCTATAGTTTCATAAACATGTGTCAATTACAGTTAACTTTATCTACATATAAGAATTTAAAGAAACATGTTTTATCATGTTTTCCAGAAATTTTTATTAGACCTGCAGTCAGGATGTGTTGAAAAGAGTTCATTGCCAAAAGATTTTACCAGTAATATTCTCAATGATGTGGACACTGACATCTTTAATGAACTCAGGTAAATACTCTCATCCTGATGAAGAAAATATTTTTCCAAGAAAAATGTTACCTTTTATCATTTTTCTGTTCAATACATCTCAAAATGAAATATGTAACATGTAAATTTTACAAATTATAGTATACCTGTTGACTGACTTATATTCAGATTTTTTGTGATAATTTCCACGAAAAGTGATAATTGACTGTTTCAAAAATGGAAAGCTGTTAGCAACTTTATATATAAGAAATTCAGCAGGTTATTGAGGTTAATATTTAAATAGAACACAATGATCAGTCTAGTAAGGTCAGTCTGAGAGTCTGGAGAAAGTCGGGGTCTACAGACATTATATTCTTAAGTTATAATGTTACGTTGGATTTTAAGCCCCAACAACATTGTACTGGTCATATGCCAACTACCCAGCTTCACTGGCAGTACCCATTTTGAATTATAGAGAAATACAGATTAAGACATGCAAGAGAAAATTGTTATTCATTGTATGTTTAAAATGCTTTTACAATAAATAAAAACACAAACCAAATAATCTACGATAAGATCAGAATTATTATATGAGCCGCGTCACAACAAAACCAACATAATGGTTTTGCGACCATTATGGATCCAGACCAGCCTGCGCATCCTGCAAATCCTATAAGAAGTAGAGAAACTGATAGCGAACAGCATGGATCCTGATCAGACTGCGCGGATGCGCAGGCTGGTCTGGATCCATGCTGGTCGCAAACGCATTACGTTGGTTATATCAGAACATATTTATTATCTTAATCTTAACTTGTTTCTCTCTAAAGTAAAATTGAAAGGCGTAAATGTTGAACTTTACTTGTGTGTGTTTATAGTGAATTAAACCTGGCAGTGGCAGCACATGTATCAGACCAACTTATTGAAGAAGTTATAGAACGTCTGTCTTTCTCACATAAAACTCTGGTGAGTACATCATATTTTTGTCATTTTATATATGAGCCGTGTCATGACAAAACCAACATAATGGCTTTGCGACCAGCATGGATCCAGACCAGCCTGCGCATCCGCGCAGTCTGATCAGGATCCATGCTGTTCGCTTACAAACCCTATAGCAAGTAAGGAAACTGATAGCGAACAGCATGGATCCTGATCAGACTGCGCGGATGCGCAGGCTGGTCTGGATCCATGCTGGTCGCAAAGCCATTATGTTGGTTTTGTCATGACACGGCTCATATAATCATACATATCAATGAGTATTAGATACAGAAAGTCGGTTATTTGACTGTATATGAATTTCATATATATCATAACTCATTGTTTTGAATATTTTTCTATCACTTTGAGCTCTCTTGACTATATTTTAGTCAGGCTTCATTTTGTGACAGACTAATATCCATTATAAGTCTAAACATGGGTTAATAATTTCTTATTTGCACAAAAGCAGTTTTATTTTTTGATTGTGTATATAATACACAATTAGTGCCGCACTTCTATCAACTGTAAATCTCAGTTCCTTTCTTGAAGTGGTTTGTGCCCACCATTGTTTACAGAGTTACAGCCCCTTTGTTAATATAAAATAAATCATTTGATTGTTATTTTTTTGTTCATTTTAATGTTGTTACTTTATTTATAGACCAATCATTTAAATGAGAGAAAGAAAGATGCTGGACGTAGGAGTCAGGTGACAGAGAGCAAGAAGGAAGATCAGAACGAGGCTAATTTACGTAGTAAATCCCCACAGGTATATTATCTTTATTATCTTACATATCATATTATGATATCAACATGACAAACCAGTATTGTACTCACCACCATATGTTTGCCAAATGTTCACTGTATAAGGATTATGTTTATATATTTCATAGAATAAGATCAATGTATGCTACTTTTAATGCAGTTGTACAAATAATATTCTTTTTGTGTTGTAAGTTGTATTAAAATTTGTATTCAAATAGTGCCATTTCAAAGTTTTTTTGTTGTTTTTTTTGCATCTTTTCTTTGCATTTGAAATTCTTTGTTTGATCAGATTGCATTAATAATAAGAATTATACCAGGTCTTTTTTATTGAAGAAAATTATATTTATGAAAAAAAATTATTGAATGATTTAGTGTATCATAATGATAGTTTGTGTAAATATTTACTCACTGAATTGTTTTTTGGTTAATGATAATTGAAATATGAACAGCTTGTTTGAGGTAGTCTCTTCATATCTCAACCATTTTCTTCTTATATCAAGACATTGGTATATCTTCCAATATCTTAATAATTTATAGTTACCATTTTTTAATAATAAACTTTAGCAACAACAAAAAAATAAATAATAATAAAAATTAGACAGTTTGTTTTTGTATAACACTTATATTTTGTTGCTGTTTAACAAATCAACCTATTTTAAGGCTGTTTGGTTACATGTATGCTTTTAATATTATTTACATTTGCAAAGTGTACTTTATGCTCACTCAGTTTGACCTTGTCAGATAAGTTGATGGGTTAATTATTATTCTAACACGACCCGCATTTTTCCCAATTGAACATAGAAGATCCGAAAGTGTGTGTTATTACGCAATAAAATCACTGTTTGACGTTCTTTATTTAGACATGTGACGTAATCATTATATACATGATGTAACCACTAAAATGTGACGCACTGAAAATAAGTACGGAAACAAATCAGGCGCAATTTAGGTTAAAAACAGGTACGGCAGCATTTATGTGTTGATGTTGTGTTAGAATCGAAATAATATATCCAAATCGGTGATTTTATCGCTTGATAACATCACTGTTTGGAGTTCGGATGCACATCATTATATCACTCGGGCTACGCCCTGGTGATATAATTCCTCGCATCCGAACTCCAAACAGTGATGTTATTGAGCGATAAAATCACTGTTTGGGATATATTATATCTTAACTTACACCTCTTCAGGGATTGATAGCTCCTGGAGATATCAGGCGTTCCCTTACAAATGTTTCAAAATCACAACCATGTCTCTTTATCTGAAAGGTCATATTGAAAAATTAACTTTTTTGTTACACATGAGCACTTTAATGATAGTCAGACATACACATTTATTACTTTATCAAATTCTTTTACAGCACATAAAATAACTTTTGTTCTTTATAATGGCTTATTACTACAGTACGCTCAGCGCGGCTTTTCCAAAACCCGCGTGACCCTGCGGATGAGGTTTACCGCGGACGAAAATTTGCTCAGATATTGTCCGCGTGACCCCACGGACAGAAAATTTTCACCACCGCGGACATAAATCGGCGGCTGAAACCGTTTCCCCCGCGGAACGCAGTGGTAAATTGCGGAGGAACGCGGCGGTCAAACACCGGTCAACGCGGTGGAAAACTTAAAAATTTTAAAAATTAATAACTGTATTTAAACATCAGTATACGAACGTACTGTAACATGTACTGTACATATAACTATATGTAAAATTTGTTTGTTTGTTTTCTTTTTTGTTGTAATAAAAGTACATGTACAAATGCAGTGTATTTCTTGTTCTTCTTCTTGTTATTGTGTTGGGTAATGTATAATATGTATTCGACATCAAGATAAATCATTGTCGTCGCAATTTCATGGTAGTGAGAAACTTGAAGTCAAATAATGAAAAATTCGGCATATGACATTTATGAAAAAGATACTGCAACAATTTATATGCCAGCTTTTGTTTCTTATTTAAAAACTTTGAAAACGAAACCCTCAACAATTTATTCAGGCAATATTCCAGGACGTCTCTTTCAATTGTCAGATGCGTTTTACTGTTTCTGTTTATTTGCATGTTGATCATAAAGTCTTATATTTTATTTGGAACATTAAAAGAAAGCGTTTATTTCACCAAAATATACATTAAATGATATTCTTGATTTATCTAATTACAGGTGTGAGCGTAATGTATATGTTTTGAAGTTTGTATCAACTGTTGAAGTTTATTTTCATTTTTGTTTTAGTAGTATGTTTGTTTGTTCTTTTTTATTTTTTGATAGATTTTTTGCAAAATTTTGTTAAACTTGACGTTATACTTTTTGTTATTTTATTATGAACAGTATGCATGTACATACATGTATATAAGGCAAACAAGCACATGGCAGTTATTTTCTAAGAACTTCCATCGACCGATTTTCAAGTTAAAAATATTTCATTTTATTTTTATCTTAAGATATTATTGTTCATAGGAATAATTGTATTTGTAGACAACATGTAGTTTTAAGTACATACAATTGAATATTAAAAACAACAACAAAAACAGGTACAGCTGTAATTATTTTTATTTCAAATTCCGTTAAAATAATTTAACGTATAATAACATTTAAGGGGACGATTGTGGTCAATTTTCAAGTCATTGTGTAAAAAAGATGACGTTAAAAATAATAAAACGTCTATTATTTTTGGAGGTTAATTTATACTGACCAACTGAACATGGCGTTCCCCCGCGGGAAACGGGTGAGTGATTTTATCGATGAATGAAGAACGGTCGTCAGAATTTTGTCCGCGGTGGAAACAACTGAACACCGGGGATCGCGGGGAAATTAGGCTTCTCATCGCGGACGAACCTCCGCCTTTGTCCGCGATGGTATCGCGGAAAAAGCAAAACCCGCGGTGAGCGTACTGTAGAAGATTATAGAACACATATTGCACAACAAATGATTTAGCTATATTTTATTTTGAGGGCTGAAAACAGCACTGTTGTTGTTTTTTGTCTCTCTCATATGGCTTGTGGCGCCGTGGCCGAGTGGTTAACACGTCAGACTAGTTATCTAAGGATTGCTGTCATGGGTTCCAACCCTGTCAGGGGCAAGCTGTTGTTTCCTTGAGCAAGAAACATTACACTCATTGCTAAGTACTGATTAAGTCCGAAAGGGGTTGGAGAGTTTTTCATTAAGCCTATAGCTTCCAACACAATCAAACTAAAATAAATTTGTATAAACTATAAATTAAATGGACTTGGAAAACCAAGTATGCAAGTTACATATAAAAAATCAAGTATGCAATTTACATATAAAAATCAAGTATTTGATTAACATGTAAAACCAAGTATATGATTAACATATAAAACGAAGTATGTGATTTACATATAAAACCAAGTATGTGATTTACATATAAAAAGAAAGTTTTCATTGCTCCTCATTTCAAATTTCATGATCTCTATGTTCATGAAATTATTATAGTATTACTTCAAACAATTATAATGCATTCACATTTATGCATTAAGCACTGCTTTAAGTTTAATGAAATCTATGTTTATGTGTATATTATGTTCATACAAAGTATATAAATATATATGTCAATATATTTTGTAGCCATACTTACATACGCTCCGTGTGGAAGCTTTAAGGGTAGGGTATATAAATCTGCCAGATTTTTCTCAGTACTAGTTCCTTCGTTATGTTTTTGGTTATGTTTATTGCTTTGGTCGAATTTTCTTGCATTTACATGTATATTTAATTGCTTTGCTAAAAAGTTGTTTTTTTATTGCTTTAAGGACAGTGGTACCTTTTTTCTTGATGATCAACTGTTTATTATATCTTAACTATTCTGCCTGCATGTTGGGACACTTACAGATTGTTGAATTCAGAGAAAATATTTTGTACATTTGTAAATGTGATATAATTTGTCATAAAAGGAGCAAAACATAAACAAAGTGGTATGTATCTTCCATATGAAATATTTAATCACTTAAACTGTACTAATGGCCTAAAGGTTAAGAAGCAAAAGTGGCATAGCTATATAGTCATGCAATGGGTACTATTTCATAAACTTTTAACAGGACAACATAAACCCCCCCCCCCCCAAAAAAAAAAACCCAAAGATAAATGCATTTTTGAGGCTAATTGGGCCTTTAAAAAAACTTAAAATTGGTGTTAACTGCAATAGAATTACACCAAAACTGGGTAGTCTGACTGCTATCCTATTTATCCAGAAATAAAGCAAAGTAGATCAATCTTTTGTCCATCCATCCAACTAAACTAGACCAACCTATCTGTCCACCTATACAGCCAATCCAGACCAGCCTGTTTTTAGCTCACCTGACCACGAAGTGGTCAAGGTGAGGTATAGTGATGGGGCTATGTCCGGCGTACGTCGTCGTGCGTTGTTCGTCGTCAACAATTGGGTTGTTAACAGTCTAGCAGTCACAGTTTTGATTGGATCATTCATTGTCAAACTTTGTCAGAAAGTGTGTCTCAATGAAATACAGATGAGTTCGAAGATGGGTCATATCCGGTCAAAAACTAAGTCACAGGAGCTAAAAATAGAAAAAGCTTGTAATTACTCTAGTGGCTGCAGTTTTGATCCAGATATTCTGGAGGTTTTGATGATTTCTAGATCAAGTTCAAAGATGGGTCATCTCCGGTCAAAAACTAGGTCACTGGAGCTAAAAATAGAAAAAGCTTGTTAACACTCTAGTGGCTGCAGATTTGATCCAAATATTCTGGAAATTTGTCAGGAAGGTTGTTTTGATAATTTCTAGGTCAAGTTCGAAGATGGGTTATCTCCGGTCAAAAACTAGGTCACAGGAGCTAAAAATAGAAAAAGCTTGTTAACACTCTACTGGCTGCAGTTTTGATTCAAATATTCTGGAAATTTGTCAGGAAGGTTGTTTTGATGATTTCTAGGTCAAGTTTGAAGATGGGTCATATCCGGTCAAAAACTAGGTCACAGGAGCTAAAAATAGAAAAAGCTTGTTAACACTCTAGTGGCTGCAGTTTTGATACAAATATTCTGGAAATTTGTCAGGAAGGTTGTTTTGATGATTTCTAGGTCAAGTTCGAAGATGGGTCATCTCCGGTCAAAAACTAGGTCACAGGAGCTAAAAATAGAAAAAGCTTGTTAACACTCTAGTGGCTGCAGTTTTGATCCAAATATTCTGGAAATTTGTCAGGAAGGTTGTTTTGATGATTTCTAGGTCAAGTTCAAAGATGGGTCATCTCCGGTCAAAAACTTGGTCACAGAACCTAAAAATAGAAAAATCTTTATAACACTGTAGTGGCTGCAGTTTCGATCCAAATATCCAGGAAATTTGTCAGAAAGGTTGTTTGATGATTTCTAGGTCAAGTTTGAATATGGGTCGTCTCCAGTCAAAATATAGGTCAAATTGCCCAAATTTGGAAAACCTTTTTAACACACTAGAGGTCACATTTTTGACTCAATTGTCATCAAACTTGGCCAGGATGTTTGTCTAAGACATTGCTTGGATGCGGTTGATGGGTCAGGGGAGCGATCCACGTCCATCATGGCCCTCTTGTTTTAGTATAAGTTTTTTTGCATTGAACATGATCATTATAACCATATCCTGTATACCAGTATGTTATACTATAGGGAGATTAAGTATGTTAGTCAAATTGCAATGAGGAACAAGAGATTTATGTAAAATATAATATCAGAAATTAATTAGAGGGCAATACAGAAGTACTCTAACAATGCATGCAACAATAAAAAATAGTAATAAAAAGAGTCTATTTAATGATAGATAGGGTATTGAAATATTAGAAAGGAAAAGGATGGAAAGGGAAGGTTTTATATAACTTAGAGCTAGGTTATACTAAAAATTGGTGACTGTCTTGAATGTTTTTTTAGCTCACCTGAGCACTTGATGATATGTGTGATGTCCATCATTGTCCAAAATTTCATTAAACAATATCTCCTTGATATTATTTGGTAGATTTTGACCAAACTTCACAGAAATGTTCCCCAATGGTCTGCAACAAAATTTATAAATATGATTGTAGTCTGATGCAGAAGTAGGTCAATAAAGCTAAAAAGTACATGTAAACTAAAAATGAAATTATTAAAAATCTTCTCTTTAGAAACATCAAGGTGCCCCAGAGTTTATATATTTAGCATATAACATCACCTATGGTCTTCTACAAAAAAAATTATAAATCATGGTCTCAGAGGGTCAAACTTGGCCATGCCCTATGGGTTAATTGTTTTACATAGATTTATATAGGAAATAATAGATCTTCTTCCTTGGCACTAAATATCATACAGCTTAGATATATTGCATGAAGCATTTTCTAGTGGACCTTTACAAAAGTTTGGCAAATCATGCCTGAGGGCTTAAAAATGGCACAGCCCAAATGTGATCCAATGACTTCTGCATTTAAAAGAATGATGATCTTTCCTAGAACTGGATTACAGGTGAGAGATCTATAGCCATCATGACCCTCTTGTTAAAGGTTTAATTTTGACTATTTTGTTTCAAATTGCTTGTAATTTACATTTGGATAGTGACTGATGTTCTAAGCATGATTTTAAAATGCCTTCTTTTCTGGATGGAATTTTTTCCTATCAGAAAATCACACAAAATCTTAGAAAGTCTTAAAACTTTGCAAAAGCTTTATTATATATGTACAGATATGGTAAATGCAAATATTTCACATGTTTAATTTTCTCTGATGCCATCTCTAAATTCATGCAAGTATCTGTTGTTATGAAAGATCTAGGTTATTTGTTATGTCTTTGTAGTAAATGCTTCCTAGTTTCTTATATAAGTTGAAGGAGGTTTGTCCTAATAAGGAACTAGATCTGCCAACATACTTTACACTGGTTGTTCCAAGAACTATGTCATCTCAAGCTTTTTGTCAATTGCTTTGACAGTTTATACTCTATTATTCTGACAGTTATTTGGATACATGAATAATTTGAGGATTCAGAAGTAATGGTGTAGTTAGGTATCCTTTTAATTTTCTATTTTATTTGTATGTTTTACATAAATTTGTTAAATTTAAAAGTGATACAATTTGTTATGAATTTGTTATGATAGTTCCTGTTTCATAATAAAATTCTGTTGAAAACACGTAGGAGACAAGAAGTCAGATAAATATTATGATTTTGACTTTAGATGCAAATTTAACATGCCAGTTACTATTGTACAGAATTGTTCAATAAAAACATTATAGTTATTATAGAAATGATTGCCCTGAGATGCCAATATTGTCCTGCCTGTTTGACAATATAGAGTCATATACTTCATTTCCTGTATTGGATTATACTTCCAAATGATGGTGTTTATGTTAAAAAGTTTGACTGTAGATTGGCTTGAATTTAACTTTGCATGCATTGTGTAAGTTACTGATGGATATATTAAACAATGCTTATTGAAAATTTACTTATATTACATTTTATAATACTGCACGTTTGTAACGTCGCTTTTCATTGGATAGTCGTGACGTTTATATAGTTTTATATACACGGCTGATGTCGATTCATGAAGAAATCTTACTGTTTTCTCTAAAAAATGATGCTTGCTGTATTATAAATTCGTGATAAAGATTGTTGACAGGTTATATGGCCGTATATAAACGGCTGTTTGCAATATAACCCTCGCCTAACGGCTCGGGTTATATTTACAAATAGCCGTTTATATAGGGCCATATAACCTGTCAACAATCTTTATAACTAATAAAGTCTGTCAAGAAGAACCATTTTTATCTTGAATAATATTGTCTTATATAATCACAGTTTATTATACATGCACTCTAATTGTACTAATGATGAATGGTCTATATATTGACATTTTTTCTATGTTTTATTTATATGCTTCTCTACATTTTATTTGAACGTTTTTGTTAATTATATTTGTATATTTTTTATTTACATTTTATATATAAATATATATATACATATAAATTCTTTTTCACTTTCAGGATTCTCCTAAAATGAAGGACAAGAGGAAAAGTATGCATGCCAGAAAGATACGACCACAGTCAGTGATCGGTAAGTTTTATTGTATATAAACTGTCACAGTTTCATGTCTTGTAAAATTTTATTGCTTTTGTGTTTAAATTAGTATTGCAGCGTTTTTGTGTTTATTTTTTGCATTGTATGTTACAGCTAGTATGTATAAAGTTATTGCTTGCTTTGATATACCCAGAATTATTTTATTTTATTGATTAGAGATATACATGTATGTATTTTGTATAATTTGTGTTTTAAATATTCTTTAATATTTTATTGCTTTAATTGTGTTTACCTTTGTAAAGCTATTAGAGTCGGAGAAAATACTAATACCTGTGTTGTTTACAGCCAGGTTGATACCATAACACCTATGTTATTTACAGCCAGGTTGATACCATAACACCTATGTTATTTACAGCCAGGTTGATACCATAACACCTATGTTGTTTACAGCCAGGTTGATACCATAACACCTGTGTTGTTTACAGCCAGGTTGATACCATAATACCTGTGTTGTTTACAGCCAGGTTGATACCATAATACCTGTGTTGTTTACAGCCAGGTTGATACCATAATACCTGTGTTGTTTACAGCCAGGTTGATACCATAATACCTGCATTGTTTACAGCCAGGTTGATACCATAATACCTGTGTTGTTTACAGCCAGGTAGATATCATGATATCTGTGTTGTTTACAGCCAGGTTGATAATGATACCATAACACTTGTGTTATTTACAGCCAGGTTGATACCTAAATACCCGTGTTGTTTACAGCCAGGTTGATATCATGATACCAGTGTTGTTTACAGCCAGGAAAATGTTACATATGATTTACAAAATGTAGATTTACAAAATAATGCAGCTGAGTGATATTGAATTTTTATAATCTGGTATTTAGAAGACAATACTAAGTTGTATGGAGCACCAATTAAAGAATACACATAAGGTCTTTAAAGGTGTAAAGCTATATCTGATGAAGTAATTATAAAAAAATCACACACTGTTACAAAACTAGAGCTGTTTTCATATTATTTATGCATAATTTACAATTAGATGAACTAATTGCTTCCTAATAAACATTTTATTGGGTAAGAGATTAACAATGGCATGCACCAGACCTTTGTTTCAAAAACTGCCTTGTGTTGCTATTTACTCTAAAATTGTTAATAAATAAAGTGAAGTTGGTTTTGACAACTTGTCGGTTTTGTTATTTCAGATGATTTAAATGATTTCTCCAGTGATGGTAATTATATGATCACAAATCCATTGTAACAACCCACCATCCACTATTGATTATTTCTATTATAATAATTGAGCCGCGTCACGACAAAACCAACATAGTGCGTTTGAGACCAGCATGGATCCAGACCAGCCTGCGCATCTGCGCAGTCTGATCAGGGTCCATGCTGTTTGCTATCAGTTTCTCTACTTGTAATAGGGTTGGTAAGCGAACAGCATGGATCCTGATCAGACTGGGCGGATGCGCAGGCTGGTCTGGATCCATGCTGGTCGCAAACACACTTTCTTGTGTCGTGACGCGACTCTATTATGTTTGATGTTTAATAGAGTTTCCATGTCACATGTTTTAATTTATATAGTGATTTAGTCAAATAGCACTTAACTTATTGTATTTCTTATATCATTAACAAAGTTTAGACATTTTTAGTTTATTTCATTAGGAACTTCAGCAATGTTTCCCTATTTTGTGAATGGGTCTGTTATTCTGTACCACTTATGTCAGGAAAAAAAACAACTGTTTCTATATTCTCCTTTAGTATTATAGATATTTTGTAGATTACCCAGCAAAATTATTTTATATATCACAGCACAATACTTGTATTAGAGATAGTTATAGCATACTTTAATTAAGTTCTGGCAGGGTCCGGGTGCTAACTTTGGTTACAGTAGGTTGACTAGACATCATGAAAACTTACAAAGGTAAGAATATTTTACAGAGACAACAAAAATTTACACTAGTCAAACCATCGCTCCATGCACAATCTCTCTAGTTCCCAAGTTTTGGCGATCGCCAAAATTAGACATGTGCAGTGCACTGACTACCCCTAACAATAGTTAGCACTTGAACCCTGCCCTTGTCAGAAAAGTGTACTTATGATCCTTATTTGTACATTGCCTGTCCACACCTCAATTACTTGTTTATGATGCTCAAAGCATGTGTTCTGTCAACAATGTAAGTGGCTATATTTGTGGGACGTAAATACAAACTAAAAAAAGTAACAGAACATTGATTAACTATTTTACTGTGTTCCATAAAAAACGGGTCAAAAGCTGCCATAATGGATCTTTGATCTGACTATAAATAGAACTGATTGCATTATCATCTAACAAATAATGTTGTAATCAACAGTTATATCTAAACCTGCAGTAACTCTATTAATTTAAGGAATAATATACAACTTTCTTGTTTGAGGGGCAGGTAAAGTTACATAATTAGGTAGCATTTATTTCTTCAATAGCAAGATTGTAGTCTCTTTCCAAATTTGTATATAAATTACATGACCCCTGTTAAAATAATGAAATCCTAGGTTTAAGCAGAGCTTACTGAAATTTGATATCATATAGGAAGTACAGTCAGCATATTTATGAGCAGTATCTTAAGCCATAAATATTGAACATGGAAACATGCTATAAAAAACAATGTTAATGATGTTTTCCGTTGATAGTAACCTTGTACTAAACATAGTCCATAGGGTAACATAGGGTTAACCCATCACTTCCTTATTGTGTAAAACAGTCAAACCTGTGTTTAAAACCACTGAAGACCAATAGAATAATAGAAAAATTTAATTATCAATGATGATTGGCATTTAAGATTCCTTTTCATATGCCCGAAAGAATTTCGGGCATATTATGTTATACCCCCTGGCGTCCGTCCGTCTGTCTGTCCGCACTCACAGGACAGTAATTATGTGGCTAGAGGGACAATAGGTAACTGTTCTTTCTCTTTGATGTCATTCATTCCGTAATGCTTTTATGTGGCTATTTTCTTTTGTGTGGCTAAAAAGAACAATAGAGAGAACAATAGAGTAGCCACATTATTACTCTCCTGTTAGAACGTCCGTCCGTCCGTTAGCAATTTGGTTTCCGGAGCATAACTTAAGTTCCATTTGGCCCACAATATTCAAACTTCATAGGATGATTGTCCATATTGGGTAGAAGACCCCTATTGATTTTGGGGTCACGAGGTCAAAGGTCAAGGTCACTATTACCTTAAAACTGAAAACAGTTTCCGGAGCATAACTCAAGTTCCATTTGGCCCACAGTGCTCAAACTTCATAGGATGAATGTCCATATTGGGTAGGAGACCCCTATTGATTTTGGGGTCACAAGGTCAAAGGTCAAGGTCACTATTACCTTAAAACTGAAAACAGTTTCCAGAGAATAACCTAAGTTCCATTTGGCCAACAGTGTTCAAACTTCATAGGATGATTGTCCATATTGAGTAGAAGACCCTTATTGATTTTGGGGTCACAAGGTCAAAGGTCAAGGTCACTATCACCTTAAAACAGAAAACAGTTTCTGGAGCATAACTTGAGTTCCATTTGGCCCAAAATGTTCAAACTTCATAGGATGATTGTCGTTATTGGGTAGAAGACCCCTATTGATTTTGGGGTCACAAGGTCAAAAGTCAAGGTCACTATTACCTTAAAACTGAAAACAGTTTCCGGATCATAACTTAAGGTAGTACACCCCTAATGCACTATCTCCACTTTGAAGAGTATTCAAATAGGCTAGAATCACTGTAAAGTGTATTGAAACTGAGGGGCGTGGGTTCAAACCCCAGAAGGGGCAACTTTTTTTTTCTTTCTTTTTTTCTTTTTAACATTTTTTATTAATCTCTCAGATCCCTTATGGAAGAAAAAAGTGTTTCATTTTAATTATATAATTTTTGTAGGTATTTATCTACTAAATAATGCCAAATTTAATAGCAAATATGATAACAGATATTTTCAAAGGTTAATTAAATAAAAACTACATGGTAAAAGTATCTTATATTTTGCAAGACTAACCAATATACATTTAAGAAAATTTAGGCGAATTTGAAAACAGCCCCTCATTGTGGAATATTTTAGGAATATTTTAAAAAAGCGTTAAAGTGGGTGGGGTAGGGTTACATTTTTATACATATTAAAAACATTTCGTTTAAAAACAATCATTTTGCTTGTTTAATTTGTTACCTAAATGTCGTTATTTGTTTCTCAACAATGAGCAATAGGAAAACATTTTTCATAATGATGATATTATAGATTATTTACAGTTTCCTCATTTCCGAAAAAAGCCCTTCTAATGGCAAAGTTTTAGTTCAGAAAAATGTCCATAACTCATAAACCACACGGTAAATTTTGTTTAAATTTTGCATACAGGTGACATTTAAGGCATATAATTGTTCTATGTTGTCAATTTTATAGTTCCTTATAGTGCCCATTAGGGGTGTACTACCTTAAGTTCCATTTGGCCCACAATGTTCAATTTTCATAGGATGATTGTCCATATTGGGTAGAAGACCCCTATTGATTTTGGGGTCACAGGGTCAAAGGTCAAGGTCACTATCACCTTAAAACTGAAAACAGTTTCCGGATCATAACTTAAGTTCCATTTGGCCCACAATATTCAAACTTCATAGGAGGATTGCTTTTTGAAGGAGGTAATACTTTATTTAATTCCCATATCTTACAAATGCTTCATCCTTACTAAAAAAACAAAACACTTTCGGGCATATAATGCTCTGCCTAGCGGTGCTCTTGTTGCAAAGTTTGTTCTGAAAGACAAACTGTCTCGTTTGTTTCCATTTACATGTCCAGGTAATTATATAGAGGTGTTTGACTGTATTTGTTGATTGACTCATTTATAGTTGATTTATTATAGCTTCACAGTGTCTTACTTATTTCTTTGACAATCAGTTTGAATTAATTCTCTTTCATCAACTTTTTCCTAATCATTTTAATTATACTTATTACTTATACTAGGAACTGTGCTAGGTACTAGTTTGTAACTTAAACTTCATTATAACACATTTC